AATGACCTTTCCCTGCACATTGTGGGTGCTCTATTTTAGTAAAACCTTCCAAGAAGAGAAATTTATTTTTTGTCTTGTAGGTGATACAAGGATTACTCTGTAAATGTTGCTATAAAAATGTAAATTCCAGATTTTTTAAGCTGTTTTCTTAATGCCTTATTAAAGCTGCTAATAATCCACTAATTGGTGAAGTTGCTTTATTTGGAAAAAAAATCAGAAAATTTTGTTTAAAGATGTACTCAAAGAATCCATCTTGTCACATATTTCAGTTCTGTGTCTTCCTTCCCTGTGTCCTCTGGACCACAGTGGTCACTCTTGTTTGTTGACCATGGAGTCGCTTTGTTCCGGCATTCTGAAAAGACTGTGCAGTGCCTATAAATAATACTTAAAATGAGTCACAATTTTTTTTAAAAAAGGGTATTCTTTAATAATTTTACTTTTTTGAAAGTAGGTTGGCAGGGAGATGTAGTTCAAAAGATAAGTCACTTTCTGTTAAAGTTTTATGAGGCTTCTTCAACCTTAAATTCTAGGAAAAGGAAAAAAAAAAAAACAACTCTGTACTTGTGGAAATTTGAACAGCAAGACACCATCTAATGTTCAAAAGTCCTGTTCTTTCTCCTGAGATTATCATTGGTGTCTACTCTGCTACCCTAAGCCTGTCATTCCCTTGGGCTTTTGGGGCAACCAAAGGGCAGCAGGGCATGCAGAATGGCATTCTTCAGAGAGCCAGTAGTCACAAGCCAGTGCTCTGTCCCACACTTGTGCCATCCAGGTGGAATTTAAAATAGAATGGATGGGGACCCAGTTATGTAAAAAGTCACCTCTGGTCTTCTGTTCCCCTGTGGGAGTTAAGACCAGCTGGGGTGCTGCTGGTATCAGTTTCCAGAGTGTAAGTCTCTGTGATCTGCAACAGAAATTCTTACAACAGGGCTCTTAGAAGTCTCGCCCTCTGATGGGCTGCCAAAGGCACAGTCCAAGGCATATCTGAGAGGCAGACTTTTTGCTGAGTTTCCCAGGGCCTGAGAGAAAACTAACAGAAGGAACAGGCATGCCTGCTTTTAAACTGGTATACACAACTATGTGGGGTGGAAGGTGGGAGTTTTTGCTGGCCAACTACTTATCTGGTTCCATTGCCAAAGCTGGCCAGAGATGGCCACAGTCACAGTCTCAGAGCCTGGAGAGGGCTCCTTGAATGAAATGAGTGTATGTGAAACCTGGATCGTCCCTTCTTATGGGCTCTTCCCAATTAATCCAAAATGTCTTCCTCCCTGCTAAGAAAGCAAATTCAAGCGTATTCTCCCTTTGTGAAATCAAGAATTCATAAACGCTTCAGAGTCCTGTGCAAATGTGAGCCCATGGTACTGCTCTAAAGCAGCATTAGTGGAACTGGCCGTACCTGAGTTCAGATGGGGAGATGATACAATATTTTCTCCCATTTCTTGAATGACTAATAGCATAATCTTTATTTTATTATTATTATTTTTTTATTTTATGTGTTTGGTACAAGGTCTCACTATATAGCTCAGACTTGTAGTAATCCTGTTTTCTGCCTCTCTAGCACGGAGATTACAGGTGTGTACCACCATGCCTGATCTCAAGTGGCTTGGAACACCCGGGGTCGTGGCCAGAATGACATGCTGTACCAGGGATTGAACCCCAGTTCCTGCGCTTGCCTAAGCAGGTGCTTAGTGTGCTGAACTATCTTGCTGGCCCTGGCATGATCTTTAAAACATTTTATTGACCTCTGGTCTTCTCCTATTGATCATCTGAAACCTGGAAAACTTGAATAGCACAACTCAGCATCAAGTTATATTCTACTGATCTAAAATTTGTCCTCCTTACCAATCACACAACCAAATGTTTAACATAGGAAATAAAGCCCCTGCTTATGGCTAAAGAGATAAACAATTTAAAATCTGTTCAGATTTCATGTTTTACTTTATCCCTCAAGCCTAAATGGAGAGCATAAAGCTTACTATAACCACTAATAACTGTGGAGAAGGAATGCTTTACATGAATTGATATAGAGCAGATTATAAAAGACCTTTCATATCACTTTCATATTCCAGGATCATTTGACAAGAACCACATACACCTCTCTTCTCCCTCTGGCCTTCAGGACTGCACCAAGAGATTCAAATCTGAAAGAGAGCCTCTGCTAATTTTACAGATGGGAAAACTGAAGCACTGAGCTGAAATGAGTCATTGGAAATTATCAGCTACTGAGGAGGATTACACAAAACTGGACACAGGACTCTCTACGCAGCTCCTCCCAGCCCACAAAACACACACACACACACACACACACACACACACACACACACAGCAGAGAGTGGGAAAATGGAAAGCATCCATTGCAGCAAACTGCCACAACCCCCTCAGAAAGACTCACTTCAGTACAACTTTGTTAGGAGACTTCCCCTCCAGAGTTTTGTTTATTTTTGTAAAACAGAACAATTTTCCAATGGAGATATCAGTGAAGGAACTATGAGACACAGATGAGAAGTTTCAACCATAGGGCCCAAGTGATGAGGGATTTCGTCAGGAAAAAAAGTAGTGGTTTTGATTAGGTTACACAGCAATAAGTGGGAGGAACAAGGCTTTTAAAGTAAGATTGAGTTTTAGCTCCTGTACTTGTTAGCTGAAATATTAATTCCCTCATCTATAACATTAGCACCAGTTGTTGGGGGTAGGACTGGAATCTTGTGTGTGAGGAGAGCAGGTGAAAGATATGAGGAGGTGGGGAGAGAGAGAGAATCTGGGCCATATGCTAGGCTCTACGTGCACGAAGTTCATGACGTCTGACCAGCACTGAAGTGGCTGTTTAACTGAATGAAACATCTACTTCTTCAGCAGAAGCCACTCTGAACATTGGTTTCCTTTGCTTTAGAAGTAGAGAAGGAGTGAATTCGAAGGTCCTACATCATGTAAAATAGGTACAGGACTTGGATCTGAAAGTGTTTGACTCAGTGTTTGACTCAGTGTTCTAGCCTCTTAAGAATAGCGTACTCTGTTCCCTCAAAAGTTGTGGATAGTGTAGTATCCTGAGAATAATAACATAGAAAATTTCAAATGATCCCTTCCTCTGCTTCGAAGACCAGATTTAACAACCTTCCCATGTGTGTTTGCAGCACACTGTACCCCCCATGTGTTACACTGTATTGTCATTGCATGTTCACTTGCATGTCTCACCAAGTAGGCTATGAATTCTGCAACCATAGAACTCAATGCTATTCTTTTTTTAATCCATAACAGAAGCTCAGTTTGGTTTTTTGAATGAAAAGAATTCAACAGCTGCTTTGAGACATTTACCATTGTTGGCCTAAAAACATCCTAAGGGACTGTTGTTTTCCACTTGCTCCCTCTAATCCGAAGATTGCACCCCTCCAATTTTCCTCACAAGGAAGAAACTTCTCCAGTTCCAGCACTTTGGCCACTTAGGTATCTACTCAAGATGTTCCCCATCATAGTAATCCACTCAATAAATTGTTCTTCAAAACAGAACCTCACATACTGGGCCCAGTGGCAGTGGTACAGCAATGGATATACCATGGTCCCTCTTGGAGAAGCTCACAGAGTAAAGTGAGCTTGCATGAAGGCTGATTTGCAGAGAGGCCACTAGCCATTAGCCAAAAATATTTCTGGATCAGTAACTATACCCTATCATCAACTTGACTTTGTAAAAATTACAATGTGGCTTTAGAACCTGGTACATAGCGTACACTCACTGAGTATTTGGATAAAGGAGTGAATGGGACAGAATGGGAATTTCAGGGAGCTTTACCGCTGTGGCAGACAGAGGGAATATAAAACAAATGTTAGAAAAGTCTGTATGCAAGTGAACTAGCTCGGTGCTCACTGATCTGATATGGCCACCTCAAGTGGTTCCTAGAACTTCAGAAGTCCAGGGGGCACAGGTGTGTTTTTCAGGAACATTTCTTGCATCTACATACATAAAGCAGTGCTAGTAGCACAGCTAAATGTCTCTGGTTGCATTCAGAGCTCTCCCAAAAACCTTGCATCCTACGAAACCCCAGCTAGCCAATCTGGCAAAGCCATCACCTGCTGGAACATTTCCTGCACCTGGAGTACCTTCTGCCCCACAGCGTACACTGCTAGCCTGTGGATGTTCCTTTACTGATAAGTTCCAACTTTTTTCATTGTACACTTCCTGCATAAGGCTGGTTGGCACACTTAATGGATGGGCATTTGTCTGTATAAGTTCCTGCAGGACTGGGCATACTTGGTGTCTAAGCTGGTGTTGGCAGGGTGGTTTTCAGCATGTATCCATTCCTGGGAGCCAATGTGGGGCTGGGGAAAAAGAGTAGGTACATAATCCTCATCTATTCTTAAGTCTCCACTTAGAAGTGCCCTTCATTGGCCCCTAGTTTTACTTGGGCAGATCGTGCCAAATACTTTGGGAAATAAGACCCAAAAAATCATAAATACAACTGAAATACTGTAGATTAAGTGGCTGAAATCTCCCCTTTATCTAAAAGCAAATGCTGACTAAATGATGAGGACTTTAAATCCCACAGCATCTTTATCCTCTCTGTGAAGTCTCCTCATACACGAGTCCTCTAACAAGTGGTTGGAAGGTCAGCTTGTTTCGTTTGAACTCTGTGATTATTCTCCTGAGAGACGGAGAGAAAAGAAGGGAGGGGAGAGACTTTGCATCCACTCCAGATGAAGCGGGTGGGTGTGACTGAAATGCCTCGCATGAAACCCTTGTGTTCACCCAGGGTTGCTAAGACAGGCTCTTCTACCAGTCATCGGGTTGCATCAAGCCCGCCACAACTTGCACCAAGGAGGCTTCGACAGGAGGAAAGGTCATGACCCCCCTCTGCGTCTGAAGTAGCTGTCGAGGAGGCGAGAGCTCAGAGGGCCCTGCAGGGCCCACTCTCAGCCAATGGGAGCCTGAAGTTTCGGGATGATGAGATGCGGGTCCGCCGCTGGGCCAATCAGGCGCCAGGCGTGGTCAGAGGGAGGAGATGCGAGAAGCTGGGGGCGATGGAGAAGCAGAGACATCAACAGAAGTTTCTCACCTTGGAAAGCTAGGGACTCTCCTGCCTCAAGCACAGCTCTGCCTCAGCGCAGGAGCAAGGGGTCCAACCCAGACCTTGCAGCGGCTCACTCTTCAGGCTGGCCTGGGGGCTGCTGGGCGCCACTAGCATTGGCGGTCTTCTTATGTTTTCTGCAAGGAGAAAGAGGCCGAGGGACAGCGTGGTGCTGGAGAGCTGACCCCAGCGCCGCGGGCCTTGGAGAGGTTGGGCGAAGACGAGCGAGCTGCGCTGGGGACTCCATGCGGGGCCATGGACAGAGCGGCTCTCCTGGCCCTGCCCCGCCTGTGCGCGCTGTGGGCGGCCCTGCTCGCGCTCTTCCCCTGCGGAGCTCACGGCAGCTGGATGTGAGTACCGGGTCAGCAGAGGCGCGAGGGTTCTGTGGAGAAGGGGCGCCCAGCCCCGGGGAGCCTGGCACGGAGGCCGGCAGAGGTGGGGCGGTGACCGGCGGGCGGGCCACCTAATTTTCAGGAAAACCTCTGGGTCGGGGAGGACAGCGGGGAGGCGGCTGACGCTAGGGGCGGCCTCGTGTCACAGGTGGCTGGGCATCGCCTCCTTTGGGGTTCCGGAGAAGCTGGGCTGCGCCAACTTGCCGCTGAACAGCCGCCAGAAGGAGCTGTGCAAGAGGAAGCCCTACCTGCTGCCCAGCATCCGCGAGGGCGCCCGGCTGGGCATCCAGGAGTGCAGGAGCCAGTTCCGGCACGAGCGCTGGAACTGCGAGGTCGCCGCGGCCGCGGGGCCCGCGCTCGGCGCCGCGCCCCTCTTCGGCTACGAGCTGAGCAGCGGTGAGTCCGGGACCCGGGGGCTGGCGGGGCCCGAGGGCGACGACCCCTCTGCCAGTTTCTTCAAGTGAAGTCGCTGGCGCGGGCGCGGACCCGCGGCCCTCCAGGTCCTGAAAGCGACCGCGAGGGGCAGGGAACCCAGGTCGCAGGTGCGGGCCGCAGGGGGCGGCGCCCAGGCCCAGCGCGACCCCTGCCGCGGCGCCCTCGGAGCTGGGGAGAGCGCGGACCCTCCCGCCGGCGACCCCCGGGGGGCGCAGCGCCCCGCGCCAGGCACCGCGCGGAAGCACAAGGTCGGCGGCGGGGAGCGCGGCGGCCGCCGCATCTGCTTCGATTTAACCAGCCCCGCTGCGCACCGCGCGGGCTCGAGCGGCTGGCTGGGACGCCCCAGCGTTGGGGACTCCGAGGAGCCCCGGGTGCGCCGAGTAAGGGCAGGTAAGGGCTCCGTCCCGGACGACCCCCCGTGCCGCCAGCCTGACTGCGGTCCCTTGAGCTCTCGCCTCCGACTTCATTTCCTTCTCTCCCTCCCTCGGCGCACTCGCGCCGTGCGGGAAGCTACGGAGAAAAAAGATAAAGAGTTTTCGTTCCGCGTGCGCAGGAACTTGGTGAGGATAAAGGTCAAAGGGGCCAAGACTGTTCCAGGAACAACAGCAAATTACAGCATCTTAGGACCGGGGCTCGGGAAGGCGCACTGTCGTTTTCCCACCCAGTTCGCTTCCCTTCTCCCTGCACCTTGACCCTTCCGCACGCGGTGCCGACACGCGCGGTCGCCAAGGCGCTGCCCCCGCCCGCGCCTGGGCTCACAGCCGCGAGGGAGCCCTGACCCGCCCCACGGGGGGCGAAGAGCGAAGAAAGAGCAGCGAGGTGTGCTCTCATAGCTTCTGAAATCCAGAAGCCCTAGCTGCTGAAAAGGTTTATTGGACAACGGACACGAAACCGTTCCTACTCCAATCTAAACATCTGGAAAGGAAAAAAAAAGTTGCCTGCTAAATCCTTTCTGGTCTATTTTAGTAATATTTTAGTTGAACTTTAATTTTTAAAGAGTTTTAGCACAAACGCTACTGCAAGAGTGCTAAATACCACTACTCCAATAAAATACTTTTCCATGATTTTTTTTTCTTTTTTTTTTTTTTTTTGGCTAGTGATATTTTAATTATCTTACTTTTTCTTTAAGACTGCAAAAGGATTAGCTAGTACTATATAAAACGCTGACAGCGGCATACTGTGATCAGTGGTCGCTATTAACAATGTTTGGTTTTTTTCTCTAAAAAGTTTACTCTTTAATGTGAAAGCAAACAAACATTTCTCTGTAAATTGGCTTGGTCTTTGCATAATTTCAATTTACATTCTGATAAATATGATTTATGCAAAAAAAGTCATACTAAAACGTTCAGCCTGTTATGTTTTAAATTTAAAAGGAAAAGTAATCTAGTTTCATTTGGGTGTTTTACTACTACTTACTGTATCAATGTAAAAGATTTAAAACATATATTATTGAGCTATTATTCAAAGCTAAGCTGTTTTGAAATTTTTTAATTTTATTTTAAATTTTAGAAAGATGGTTGAAGAGATGAGGACACTGTATGAAAAGCAAACTGTTCAAGTGGAATATTGAAAATGAATGTTATCTTTTTAAAGACTAGAACAATAAAAGATCTCCTTCCTAAATATGTATTCACTAAAACATTAATTGAAGACTATTGAAAAAGTACTTAGCTTTTAAGAGTCATCTTCTGAACACAGGCAGAAAGTGACATGGTTCTCTGACCTTTCAGTGTATGTTTTATTTTAGGCACCAAGGAGACAGCATTCATTTATGCTGTGATGGCAGCAGGCCTGGTCCACTCTGTGACCAGGTCGTGCAGTGCAGGAAACATGACCGAATGCTCGTGTGACACCACCTTGCAGAGTGGTGGCTCCACGAGTGAAGGCTGGCACTGGGGGGGCTGCTCCGATGACGTCCAGTATGGCATGTGGTTCAGCAGAAAGTTCCTGGATTTGCCCATCAGAAACACCACAGCAAAAGACAGCAGGGTACTGTCAGCAGTGAATCTGCACAACAATGAAGCTGGAAGGCAGGTATGTATTAGAGGACCAAACAAAAAATCCAGGGTCCTTATGTAAATCATGTTAGGTTATGCTGCTCGAAAAAGCCATACAAAGTATTTAAAAAATAAATGCTGGCAACATAAATATTCCTTCCTGTGTACTGACCACATTGGTTTAGTTTAAGTTCTGTATCTAATGTGAGCTGAATCTTGTAATAGAATGTGGTTGTATGTTTTATATATCTAAAACATTAATTATAAAATAAGACACATATAAATGCCTTTATCTGGTTAGTGGCAAAGCCAGAATACGATTTGGCCTGTTTTTTTAGCGAGTTGAGTCAAATGTTTTTCTCTCCAAATTTAAATTTTGATTATATTTTCAAAATCCAATTTTTAGTGAGTAACTCATCCTAAACATGATGTCAGTTTTGCCCTTATTCTCTTTTGCATATACTTTGAGAAAACACAATGACTAATTATTTTTTGTAAAAAAAAAAAAAAAGTATTTTTTAAGGGAATTAGTTTAAAAGCAGTGCAGGTTCATTAAAATTTTTTGTAGAATATACATAAATGTAAAGAAGTGCTATTTATGTTAAATGTATGCATAGCTATTTTAAATTATAGCTATCTTAAAATAGATTGAGGAGGGCAAATCTGAAGAACTGCTACCTACTTAATTTCTTTCATGAATTCTTACTTTCTGCAGTGTTTTCCTAAAATGGCATATGCGTGTAGCCTAACTTAACTTTTATATATTTATATTACTAAATGATGATAAAGTTTGAATTCTGCAATATAGTTGAGTTAGTTGGCAATTTATATGGACATTCCTTAAAAAGTATATCTTATTTAATGACTGTACATTTTCTATGTCATCATAAACTTTTTAGGACAGGAGTATTAGCACATATTGTGTATTATTGTAAATGTCCAATAACCTTTTATAAGGTCCCCAAGTGGTCATTGCAGTCTGCCACATTTTCCTGAAGCAAATTAAAACAAGTTGCAGTATCTCTTAGGAACATTTAAAGTATATGTTGCATTTGTTTTACATTTGTGGCAAATGAATAAATGGAACTCATTTAGAAGAGCTGCAAGTTCCAGCCAATTTCCTTTACTTAACTCCCTTCATTTAAAATACAAAGCAGAAAACTGAGAAAAAGTATCATTGTAACTTTGCAAAATCAAATTTAAATTTTCAATTTAATTTGAATGTTCAATTCAAAATAGCAAGCAGGAAAATCAGTAAATAGATACACAAGCTTTCTATAATTTTGTTTAGAAAATTTAAAGGATATTTTATCTAAGTGTTGCTTAACACTAATTATGTACATGTCTCTTTAAAATGTTATATTACAAAATGAAATGAGATATTGCTTCAGTTTAAATATTATCTAAATAAAGAAATATTTATAATTTCTAACATTAATATAAAACTTAAATGTAATTAATGTGTTCTTTTTAATTGGAAAAAATTAGAAAAAATCAAGATACATCAAATTAATGTATTTTACAAAAAGATAGCTAAATGAATGCTTATTATCAGTATATAACTTAAAACTTCTTTAGCCATCTTTGAAATAATTTTGTAGTAATCAAAAATTATAACCAGAATATCAATACTCACAAGCTCATATTATAAGTAATTTTCTTATAGAGTTGTCTCTAAACTTATGAAAAACACTAATGCACTGTAAAATCTGTTTTTATTAATAACATTAAGTATCTATTGGGTGTTTATTTCATTTTGTGTGCTTTATCATAAGTAGCTAGCACTATTTGCCTCTGTAACTGTAAATGTTGATCTTGAACTATTGTTTATATTCTGATTTTATTAAAAACATACAACTCTTCAACATTAGTTTTAATCCACTCCTTGTTAGCAAAAAATATTTCCTCATCCTAAGTAAATTTTTATTTTAATTCAGCCCGAGCAGAAATAATTCAACCTTTAAATATCTGTACACGCTGTGCAAACTTTAGTCTTTTCCTTATTGAATTTTTTTCCTTCCATTGTTCTAGGTGGAATCTTAAAATATTTACCTGGTTATTTTGAGAGTACTAGTTTGGGGTTTGTTGTTCTTTTCTCATGTAGTATTATAACTGAAAACATTTTTGTATTTTTCTTTCCATTGGTGGTAAAGCAAACAAACTCAAACTAAAACCAAAAGCAGGTTTGTAGGTTGTTACCTAACAAGTGCAGTCAAGTCAATTTTTAATATTGGCTATTAGAATTTTAATCTATTGTGCATGTTTGTGTGAGCAAAGTTCAAGGTCTGCATTCAATTGAATTACTTTTTCTATTCGCAAAATCTGAAACTCAAAATGTAGGAACGTATTCAGAGAAATGTGGGTACTGGCGCTTAGTAGTGCTATGAGCAGGATAGATGATTTTCTAACCACTGACCTTAAATACTCTGATTCCCACTTGGTTTCTGACACCATTCCTAAAGTTATGACTCCAAGAATAATGTAGCTGGATGGTGATTGGCCGACAGAATGATGTGCTGTCTTCCAGGGGCAGAACTTCTGGGAATAATGTGACTTGGAATATTTATGGGTATTTCTTTTGGTGTGCTTAAAATATTTCCATTCTTACCATGTCCACCTCATAAACTTAAAAGTTTCCTTACCCCATAATTTGTTTTATGATGAGTAACTCAACAAAGTGGGAAGAGCCAGCCCCAAATTCATTGACCTGTTTCAAGAATATTTATAAGAGGTTGAACAACACGTAAGTGCTTTTGCTTTTTAGCAGGTTCAAATATTTGGGGGCAGAAAAGGACAAAATGGGTCAGAGAATTAGGACTGCTATGCACATACATCTGGCCTCCTATTACAGTTTTCATGAAATCTTGAATAGTTCATCCAATTGTTGACAAAATGAAATGTTAGTCACAAAATACTCTGCAATGTTTTTCTGGCCATTCCTGTAAAGTCAGGTTAAAGCAATGTGCTGCCTTGCCTTTGAGTTAAAATTATAGATCCATCAGTCCTTAAACTACCTCATCAGAAATTTATCGAACCAAAATGTAGGTGAAGATTCCAGTAGACTAAAATGACACCCTCCTTCCTAATTGCTGTCCTATAGTTTAAAAATGTTCACCAAAATGTGCACATCTGTTTGCAATAGTTAACAAAACATTCCTCTGTTAATATCGTTATAAACCTTAACAACTCAAGTAGAGTAGAGGAAGGAATTTTCTCATAACCACATGCAACTCATTCGGCTGCTGTATCTCTTACTTTTTGTTACCAGAAAATGATGAAATACCACAGCAGCTCAAATGACTATTTAACACTAATTAAGGACCCTGGCAGAAAAGATATAGATATATTTCTTGGTGGGTTTTTTTAGTGTTCCTGTGATTTCCTTAAATACACTTATATTTTCCACTTTCATTTCACTCCATTCTACTATCTTGTTGCATATAAAGACTTTATATCATATATCATCAAAATATATAAGACAAGTGTTTTAACCACATTGTTTCTCTGTAAAACTGGAATCATAACTAAGTACCTATTATTAACAACCTACTAGGTGCAAAGTATTTCTTCCTAAATCAAGTAAAATAATTTATGAAAATGAGCTCTGAGAAAGACTAAATTCTATAATTCTGTGTGTGTGCCTGACCTCAAATTGCATTTCATAAAAATCTAACTGGTGATTATATTGCTTTAATTCAGCCAAGTTCCATCCTTACAGTGTTAGAAAGGCTACAATCATTCCAATTAGATGTCAAATTATTGAGATTTTCCTTTAAGTTCATTTATATATGTAGAGTCTAGCATAGAAAAATAATATATGGAATATAGATATTTAAAATATAGCTTCTTTTCTTAATCCTATTGTTAGGGCCATGAGTAACTTAAAAGTTATAGAATAAGCTTTTAAAAAACATCAGTGGAGTTATATACTCCAGATATTTAAAAGAGTTGGTTTGCTAGAGTGGGAAAAATTTCCAAAAATTCAGATATGAATACAGCAATGAGTCTGAAGTTGAGTCTGAACCTAGAAAGCAATTTATCACTTTTGTGGACTAAGACTGTTGTGGATGAGGCAGAGGCAAGACTGGAGGAGAGCCTTTGCGGCTCAAACCCTTCCTGTGCCGCTCTCCCTTCTGACCCTTGTTCACAAAGGCGACTGTATCACTTTCTCCAGATCAACCTACCAAGGGAGGATGAGTTCGAACCACTCCGGTGAGTGGGACTCATTATTCAGTCAGCACTGGATGAGCATCCACTCTGCCCCTGCGGCCTTGCGAGTGGTCTGGACTCCTTACATGATGTCGGAAGAGCTTAAGGAAAGGAAGCGAGCGAGCTCCTCAGCCATGACCCAGAGGAAATGGGAGCTTTGCATTCCTAAGTGATGACTGTCAGGAACCTTGATCAGGTTTAAACACACAACACACGTTCTCTAATTTTTAACTTTTAGACAATTTATTTCATTGCTACCTAGCACTAATTGAGCTCTCTTGCTCATATTCGTCAAGTGCTCAAAATCTGGATAAAGTTGGCAGATTGCTTAAGTTAAGCATGTATTTGCCCTTAAAGAGCATCTTAAAGAACTGATGACTTTCTGAATATCAGATCCCACAAATTAAATGAAATAAGCCTGAGTGCCATCATTTTTGAATTGCGCTTACATCACTGTAGTATACATTTTACTGTGGGTTAATAAGAAATTGATACGCTTGTTAGTTTTTGGTTTTGTAAATTCAAAAAGAGCCTATATGCTGTGGTCTATAAAGAACAGAGTGTAAGTATTATTTTATTGTTTCAAATACTAGTAAGAAGTATTAAACCTTGTACAAATCAATGCCATATGCCTTCATTTAAGGTTTCAAATAAATCTTAATTGTTTACAATACTCAGCATCATTAGACAGCTCAGAAAATTGTTAATTTTTTCAAAAACATGTAATTTCATAAACATGTCAACGTTGGATTTGGTACAAAATAGCAAATTATAGAGACCTGCGACTTTATAGTTTTGATAAGAACGATAAGTAGACTTTAAACTGTGAGATTTTCTTTTCTTTGGTGAGATTTTATATATAATTTCCAAGTTATTGAATAGATGGATCTATTTTTCATTTTAGCTAATATGTTGACAGTACCAACTCTACAGCTAGTGCTGAGGATTTACTGTTCTGTTCTGCCATATTGGGGGACCAAAGAAAGCTATGCTGGCTAGCTTGATACATGAGAGGTTAGAGCCTGGGAACTTTTGAAGTCTCTAGTTCCTTCTCTCCTCGTTTTGACCAGTCTAACGTGATTAGTCAGTGTTTTCCATTTGATCTGTGATGGGGTAGCCTGCCCTCCCTTTCCCCAGTCCCTGTGAGAGTAAATTATAGTGTGATCAAACCTAAGGCCTCCGAATTGTATTAATTCAACATCATTACATTACTGGACATCATTAAAATCATCTGAGCAGTTCACTTGAATAGGTAAAGCCAGAATCTCAAGGGTTTGAGCACTGGGTACTTGTGAAGTTTCAGGGCAGTTTTGATGCACTGTTATATCAGTGCTTCTAAAATTTTAGTATGGATAAGAATCACCTGGGGACGGGGACCGGGAGATGGCTCAGTGGAATAAGTGCTTCCCTGGCAAGCACAAGGGCCTGAGTTCAATCCCTGGTTCCGCCAAAGGAAAAAAAAAGAAGAAGAAGAAGGAGAAGAATCACCTGGGGAATCTTAAATAAAATCTAGCTTCTGATTCTATAGGAATGGGGCTTGAGTGTATGTCTCAAAAATCATAGTAAGGTGTTGAATTGTATCAGAATCTCATAGGCAGGCATGAGCATCCCCTTACATCCCAAATTGAGTACAGTACTGGAAATGGGAATAGTTTCCCCTTGGTATCACAGATATTCTCTGGTAATAATATCAACCTGGTCTACTAATACTTTCAGTGTAGTTCAGAAAGGTTTGCTGTTCAGGGTCAAGACATTTGGACAAAACTAAAGGAAAAATATTTGAACTTTACATAGTCTTAAAGATTCTTCATGCTTAAAACCATCATTTTTGTTTATATAGAAATTGATACAGAGAGTTAAGTGATTAGGTTGGTTGTGCTTCTGTTGTTGAGTGAGGCACTTAATGAGTGTCATTTGAACATAAATCACTGTTGGTTTCAGGCTGTCGCCAAGTTGATGTCAGTAGACTGCCGCTGCCACGGAGTTTCTGGCTCCTGTGCTGTGAAAACATGCTGGAAAACCATGTCTTCTTTTGAAAAGATTGGCCATTTGTTAAAAGATAAATATGAAAATAGTATCCAGGTATCAGACAAAATAAAGAGAAAGATGCGAAGGAAAGACAAAGATCAGAGGAAAATACCGATCCGCAAGGAAGACCTGCTGTACGTTAACAAGTCCCCCAACTACTGTGTGGAGGATAAAAAGCTGGGAATCCCAGGGACACAAGGCAGGGAGTGCAACCGTACGTCAGAAGGGGCAGACGGCTGCAACCTCCTCTGCTGCGGCCGAGGCTACAACACGCATGTGCTCAGGCACGTGGAGAGGTGCGAATGCAAGTTTGTCTGGTGCTGCTACGTCCGCTGCAGGAGGTGTGAAAGCATGACAGACGTCCACACTTGTAAGTGACCGCTCCATCTAGCCCGGAACAATGCGCCTCAGCGACATGACGGGATCACAAGCCAAAGGATGCCTCTTTTGTATTGGACTTTCCAGATCTCTGGCCTATTTGGTATTTGCTTTGCCTGAGTGACATCCAATCATGCATCCGTCCTTCACACTTCTTGAGATTTTAAAGTTGAAAAAGTTTCCATTTATCTTTGGATGATTTGGAGGATACAGGTTGACATATAAAAGGAAGACAAGCCCATTTGCTAAGGAAGAGTTGGCCCATACTCAGGATAAGATTCTCAGCTGTGGATCTCAGCTATGGAAATCAATAATGGTGGGTGATTACTACTCATTTTTAGATGTCTCTTACAGGAACAAAGGACATAAAGATGAATCTCATTTATTCTCAGTATTTTAATTGAAAAAATACATAAAGTGTTTTGCATGGGCAGATGTTGAAAAGTTAATCTGAGGGGTGGGTGCTTGCCCTTTTATGCACACCAAAGGAACGATTGCAAAGAACCTTTTTAAGTGATACAATATCTCTAAAAAGTAGTCAGTAGAGTTGTGTGCTAACAAAAAAAAAGTATAGAAACTAAAATCAGTTGGATTTTAAGTGCCTTCTTACCACTATAACCTGCCTAGAAAAACCTCCATAAGTACATAGCACTCTTTTATTTTATACCACTGTTCACTGTTGAAAAATTCAACTCTAAGGGATAGAGGAAGGGAGACCCTAAAATCATAGGAAATGTGAGGGAAAGATATAAAGGGCTCTTATCATTGTAAAGAAAACATCCTTTATCTGTGTAAAAACAGTATTTTGTATAGTATTTTGCTGAAAAAGATTTATATTTTGTAAATATAGTATTTAAGTTATACATCATATATTACATACAATTTAGGACATTTATTGCCAAAGCCCAAAACCTTAGGCAATAAGATTAGCCTCTTTTACTTTTCATGATTAACACTAACTTCTTTAATATTGAGAAAATAGGCAATTGAGCAATTAGTTATACAAATGTGTCTTGCCAAAATGAAATTTTTATGTTATAGATTAAAATGTGCTGCAGAATATTGAGAAGTATGTTACTTCAGTAGCCAGATTAATTGAATTCATTTTTTACATTAGTTTTCTAAATTCATAAGGTTATTATAATAAATTATATAGTAAAAGTCTTAACTGAAAAAAGAATTTAAATCAGATTAATGATCAATTTGTAGATTTGCTATTCTGGATATTTATTGTATTATATGTAATGCTGCACTTCCATTTGAATGTGGAGTGGTCTTACTTGCCTTAATATTCATCCATGTGTATTCGCCATATTTTGCACAGTCCTGGTAAAAATTACAGGGCTGTATGTAAGGTTGTATTTTAATGTAAATGCCTGTTTTATGGATTGTTAATATTTCAGTATTATATAGAAAAAACAATTTTTATGTTCAACATAGAGAAAGACAGAATATTCTTTTTCTCAATAAGATAAATATTTACATATCCCTGAGGTCTCAGTCTTCTTTCTTTTGGTTTTATTTATCCTAATGAACAAAGACACCAGTTGACAATGTCTCAGTTCTCATATTAAAAATCAAGACTGAACATTTAATTGTGATCCTTAAAATTAAAGTAAGTTACTGCTTATTAATGAGAGACTTAGAAAAGGCAGCGGAACAAATATAGTAGTCTTCTGTAGTACATGCTGAATAAAGTAACATGAGAAAACTTATTCTCATGCCTTTCTTGCAAAGGTGATAATTTTACCTTATTGAAACTAAGCACCCGTTTTTAAAAGGAGGAAGATTGTAATGCCCATTGGTGGCTAAAAAATTAATGATTACCTTAACTGATTAGAGAACCAGGCAGCCTATATTTTATAAATGTCGATTATTATTCAGCCATTTCTTCTTGATGTTAATGCATGCTTTTTTTATGCTGGTCAAGAACTCCTCCTACAGTAACTGTCAAACTGTGTCTTTGGGTTTCCTTCTTTCTCATTCTTGGCATCATGGTAGAAATCAACCTTGAGGTTTTCACCTATCTTCCTAATGACCTGCCCTTGGCCCCATCAGTTCACACCCATCATCCCACAGTAAGGCCAAGGCTTTCCTTAGGACACAATTCTGGTGCCAATGATTCTTGTCTAGGCTATGCTATCTGCCAGACTTAGGGTTTTTATGCTGCAAGTAACAGAAAACCCAATCGAGACCAATATAAATTTTAAGGAATGTACTCTGTAATGGAAAACTAGAATTATAAGTTTCAGGTGAAACCTGATCCCTCAATTTCCGTTTCTTTCCTTGGTCCCCACTATCACCCTCTGCCATCCCTTCACCCTTCCCTAGTGGCCCCAGGTTCTCTGCTGTTCTGCCACATTTCCGGGCTTCTTCACAGTCTATCACTCATTCTGAAGAAATACAGGTTTCATTCTAAGGAAAGAGAGAGGCTAATTTGTGGTTGCATATCTAGAATAAAGAAAGAACACTTTCTTTCCCAGAAAGCCCAGCAGAATTCATTTGAGTATCACTGAGTCTGACTGCTTAAATATGCTCATTGTTGAACCAATCAAAAGGACTTATTAGGGGTGGGCAGCAAGCACACTGACCTGTCTTCTGGAAATACTAGCTCCTGCCTGGAGCCTCAGTGAAGTTTACACCAATTAAAACTACACAGCTTGACAATAAGGAGGGGAAGAATCTATAGAGGAAGACATAGACTGCTGTGTTATCAGTAAAGTGAGACTGAATGCTGGGCATCAAGATATTAGACAGTCCAGTTCTAGTGATGTTTAGGGGTCAGTTTCTAGCATAAAATTGAAGTCATAGCCAGTGAACACAAGCCTAAAGTATGTGAATTATTATGTGACTGAAGCTCCTTGATTTGTTTAAATGTCCTTTGTCATATTTTAAGAACAGAGAAAACTCCAGTGGGTTGTTTCTCAACTTTTTAATTTGCAAGTGCCTAACAGAGGTAATTATAAGGTGCAATGACTCACTTTTAATGCTTATATTTAGATGTCCCTGCAAAGCCTCATGAGGTTATAGGTGGGGCTCTTCGGAGGTGGCTGGATCCAGAGTATGTGGCTCTAGAATTAATTCATAGTGCAACGCTAGGCTCAAAGGCACTAGGATTAAGGGTATAAGTGACACCTGCACTAAGCAGCGTGGGTAACATAGAAGGAAGTAAAAGAACCGTGGTCATTCCTTGTTGCTTTGCTGCCTTCTGCCAGCCATGAACTGCTTCTCCTCTGGAACACTTTCTGCCATGTTACCCTGCCTTAGAGCCAGCTGATTATGGACTGAAACCCCTACCAAGTGTGAGCCAAATAAACCTTTTCCCCTTTTGCTTTGGGTGTTTGGTATTTTCTTTCAGCAATAAGAAATGTAACTAAGACAGAATTTGGTACCAGAGAAGTGAGGTCATTGCTGTGAATATACCTGGCTATGGAGCCTTTGAAATCAGCTTGTGGAAAGTGGAACAGTTAGGAAAAGTTTGGAGATGCCAGCTGCAAAAGTAGAGCTGGCTGTACCTGATGGGAGATTCTGCTCAGAGCTCAGAAAACCATAGGGCTGATAAAATTCTGCTAGAGAAGACCAGACCCAGGAAGTGTCTACGTAGAAGGACTGTATTGGATACTGGATTTCAGATCGGCCTTGGCAGAAAGTTTTTGCCTTGGCAGAAAGTTTGTCTGTATTTTGCTTCTGTTCAGAGATTTCTGTCTGCGATGAAGCTTAAGGAGTATGGATTACATAATCTGGCCGAAGAAATTTCAAGGCGGTCTCATATTGAGACAGTGGCATAGTTACTGTTGGGGGCTTTTAGTAAGACATGTTGAGAATCAAGACAAAGAGCCCAAAAGAATGATTCAAAATGCTGTGTTTGGCCAGAAAAGAAGTTCCAGTCAAGTTGTGACCTGCAAAGATGGAAAAGAGGAGAAACTGGTCACTGAAAAGGCAAGCAAGAAAAAAAACAGATTTCAGAAGAAGACAACAGAAAAGATGACCTAAGGATATCATAAGAAGTGGCAGGTATTCACCCTTTCCAGCCTCAGTACTGCAAAAGGGAAAGACCTTGAGAAGAGAGCCCTAGAACACCATGTTCCAGAATGAATGGTGGCAGCCTGGGGGAGTTGTTTCTTGGAATCTGGTTCATAGGCACTGGACCCCTGCAGCGATGAGAGAAGGAAGCCTGGCTACTGCTCCAATGGGCAGCAGACCTTGGGGTCACACACATAGCATTGGGAATGCAAAATCTGGAGATTTAATTAATGCTTTCGGGTTTTAGTTAGCTTGCATTTTAATTCTCTACTGTTTCCATAGCATTATTTTAGTAAATGTTACAATAGCAACCTAAAAAAAAAAAAAAAAAAAAAGAAAAAGAAAAAGAATTGTGGAGTCAGAAAGGTTTCCAACCCTGATCTTAAAAGAAGGCCTGAGGTGCCAGGTAGTTGTGGACCTGGATGGGGAGTGTGTAAAGCTGTGGGTATGAAGCCACAGGTGCCACGGAGACCCAGCATTTTGGAAAAGCCAGGAATGTGGATCATCTGAGAAAACCTGTAAGGAGGGAGCAGAGTGGGCCCAAGAGAGAAACCAGGGGAGCTACGACCATCAGCAGTGCCTCTGGGGGGCCATGTAAGCACTTAGGGTTCACAACTTGCCACAGACCATCAGGCTGCGAGGCGTGGAGCTGTGGGACTTCATGTTTGCCCTGGTGGATCTGGGTCTTGCTTTGCTTCCATTCCTTGTTATCCCTGTTTGTATGTCTACCTTTATCTTAAATTTCAGTTTACTATAGATCAGGTGTGACACCCTACCATATCCTGGAGAACAGTATGTAGCAGAGCATGAAAGCAGATGAAGTGGCACACCAGAGAAACTCAGCTCCTTTGAAAGAAAATACACGAACACTCAGCATCCACTATGCACCATGCACTCGTCTCAGTAAATTACATATGTAGTGGTGTCTGTGTGTACAAATTTCATTCTCTCCAAGATTCTGGCTGTAATCGAATTGCATAAGACCTGAATCAAATTCCCCAAAAGATTAACATTGAACATAACCTAACCACTGAGTTTGATTCAGTTCTTATCCAACTTGGTTTGTGACCAAAATCGTGGAATTAAATTAAAAAAACCAAGGTACTACTGTGTGCGTGCATGCGTACATGCACACGTGTATCATTTATTCCTCTTGGGACTCTCACAAAGCAATAGTTGTCAGTGTTGTCACCCAATTTAAAGATTAGGAACCTGAGATTCACATAACCAGTCCAACTCATGTCATGGAGTGGACAGGCTTCAGGGTCTGTACACTCATCACTACACTGTCCCTGTGCCTCTCACAGTGTCAAAGCTGTCAGCGGACCATATTCAGAATATATCATTTAAAATATTTGGGGAGATTTATAGATAAAATGAAAATTACAGTTTTCTTTATGGTTTGGCTATATAAACTTGATTGAAGACCAGGGAGTAAAGTGATAGGAAAGCTGAAAACTGAGATTTGCCATGATACATAATTAAAATACCCTGCTTTTTGAGTTCTATTTTCTAGTTATTTAAACTGACTTCTACTTTAGAGCCCAATGGGGCAAACACGGGATTATACAAGACACTAATAATTGTTCCAAAAGGAAATGTTTCAGAATTAAAGTCAAATAAGTTTAGTTAGAAAATAAAGTTACATGGGGCCGGGGAGATGGCTTAGTAGAATAAGTGCTTCCCTAGCAAGCACAAGGGTCTGAAAAAAAAAAGAAAAAGAAAAAGAAAATAAAGTTATAACCGTTTGGTTGTTGTGCCTATAGCCAAATGCTACTTAATTTACCATTTGTCATGACTTATATTCACATCTAAAGAAAACTGGTAGAGATATTTTGCACCAGATTAAAACTTTTGAAAACAAAATCAAGCTAGAAAAAGCAACTTTTCCCCACAACACTGTGAAAAGTAGTGGCAAATGTGGACCAAGTCAACACCAGCTAGTGGCACATGTAACTTTTTAATTTGCAAAGTAAGTGAAAGCATCTGATGGTTTGATAAAAACTGAAGGGAAGAAACATGGCGATACAGGACTTGCTGGTCCTCGTCGAATGGCCATTCTGAGCTCTGAGTGACTCCCGTCACAGAGGCAAGCAGCCTTTCATTCTATAAATCATTAGTAAGCTAACACTGATGGTCACAACCTCTATCAACCCCTCCTTGACCAAGAAAAAGAAAGGTTATCATTTAGTCACCTAATTACTTGCCGATGAAGACTGGTCATGCCATACACTTCAGACTCTTTCCAAACCAGGCAAAAGTGTCAACACGATGTAAATCAAAGACTGCCCATTTATTCCTAGTAAATAATCTGCACTTTCCATCCTGTGTACTCACTGTCAGTTCTTTATTTCAAACTCTTCACAACGAAGTCTTGGTCTTTTCAAGTTCTAGGACAGGTAAGAAATATCATATGGCAGTCTCCTTTACGCAGCTATCGTCCTCCTAGGTGTCTTCCAGTAAGTTAAAGACATGTTGCAGTGATACAGGCATCCTGCCATGTTTACAGCAGCACATTCTTAATAGCTAACCTTGGAAGTGGGCTGCATGGCCAAAAACAGATGCATGGTAGAAAAAAGTGTGTTATCTATACATCATAGAGCAGGCTCTGCCATGAAGCAAGATGAACTTGAATCTCTAGGAAATCAAAAGTACCGCGAGACCACAGGAAATAAATCAGACACAAGCTTAAATACCGTGTTGTCTCTTAGATGAGAACCCCCATACACAAAGAACAATGTAAAAGATGGACAGTAGGAAGTAAAGAGATAGAGCTGCTGCAAATGGCAAGGGAACCCAGAGGTGGAGGAAGGGGAGAGAAAAGGGGAAGAGGATGGAGAAAAAACTGAGATGTTCTCTACCTATGCCAGCTCCCATGTGGAATGTATGAACGACCACTGCAGCAAGTTTCCAATGTCTTACAAGGTGTTAAGACTCATGGCAAAAAGAGCAAGGGACAAAATGGCGACACAATGGAGAAGCGGGATAAGCAGTTGGGGGGGGGGGCAACAAAGTTGCCAGAATCTTGCTGCTCATCATCACTTTCACACTGAGGAAAATGACGAGGGGACTGTGGCTGGATGAGGGAATGAAGCATTCCAGTGGAAGGAACCAGCCAGACTCAGGTTATGGCTAACGAGTAGCCTGTTTTGTAGAAAATACTGAGAAGGAATTTTCTCTAGTCACACAGGCCCCTGTGGAGATGTTTTCTCAGCCCCATAGTCTCATAACCTGCCTCTCTCGGCTCAGCTGTGGCCACTGGCGAAGAGCAATGTTAGCTGGATGCCACCTGCTTGCCACTGAAAAGACACTCCCACAGACTCAGCCCGACTAACTGAAGTGAGAGCCAATTTAGAGAAGTCACCTCTATAGGGCAGCACTGCTAGTTAGCAAGCACCATCACATCTGGGCCTGGGGGGAGGGTGATGTGGCAGTCCGCCACAATTACCTCCTATTTAATGGATCCAGGACAACTTGACAAACTGCAAGATAAATTTCATTATTTGAGAAATTCTCTGGCCAGCTTGAACTTTTTCTTTCCCCAAATGCTTATTTCTTGAGCAACTGCACATCAAAATTCATTGATTGAATAAAACCATCTCAGCACACTGACTGCCACAAATTTGCACCATCCATTTTCAAGTTTAGGGTGAATTTCTCACACCGACACTGGGCTCAAAGTTATTAAAACTTGAGTCCCAGGGGTGAGCTTTACCCTCCTCTGCTCAGACCAATGTACCTACAGGAAATAGCATTTTTGTCCAACAGGTAGACTTCTGAATTGTCTGTTTCATTCCACTGGTGGTAGAGAAGGCTGAGATCAACCGCTGGCCCCAGGCCGGCTCTGTGCATCCCATCACACCAAGCCCCCAGCAGCAACAGCATCGCAGGTTAGCAGCACTGCAGCATAAGGCATCATGGGAAATGGGCCTTGAAGTCAAACACACACTTCAAATCCCAGAAAAAAGAAAAAAAAACTTCTTTGTCCTAGACAAGAACTTTCACAGGCTCTATGAGCAAGAGATGAATGCTGGTGTGCAAAGGGGGTACAAGTGGCTCCTAGCCTCTCCCCAACCCTATTACTGCAACCTGACTGGCAGGAGCTGGACCGAGACCTGCGCTCCTGTGAGGTACAAGTGGCTAAGCCACATGAAGGAGTTCTGCAGACTTCCTGTCTCCTTGGCTGAAGTCAAACTCTCTCCCCTGTTAAAAACCAGGCTAGCAAGAGGAATACTTGAAACATTACCACCCTGGAGATATCTGATAGCTTAAATTCTGTATATGAAGTAAACTTTGGTTTTGGGGTAAGCACGAGAAGCCAGGTACTACACACAAGTGAGGAGGACTGGAGACCCAGGGCAACCTGCTACATCCTTGCCCAGGCACTCACCGCCCAGGTCGCCTGAATGGTTCCCTTCTAGCTGGTACAGCGGGGCTGGAAAGCTAGAGGCTGATTTATCTTTACTTGATCTAAAACATTATTAGCCTGCAAGATGCATGAATAACAGCAGCAGCAGTACTGGTAGCTGCATTTAAAGAATCTTTGCCAGGCACGTTGGTTGGCACCACATACTAGACCTGCCCCTTGTACAATTAAACTGACCTTCTCAGTGTCTTCCTGTAGGCAGTTCATTCTAACTACACACAGTAGTGTTCAAAGCCATTTCGCCATATACATGACCATAGAACATAGTACCCTTCACTGGACCACAGGCAGGCTCTAGGAGGGAAGAGCCTCTTTTGTCTCCTCCTAACAGCTGCCTGCTGCCCTCTTGCCTGCTTTTCATTCCATATGGCCCTTCATTTGACTATTACCTCAAGGATAAGACAACAAAGAGCAAGCCAGAAACTGAGGAACTTGGAAATTAAACAGGTATTAAAAGGTGTCAGTCAAAAATCAGGAATATAGTTAAAGCCATCTTTGTAACAATTAGGAAAAGACTCCTTCCCAGAAATACCTGAGAAAAGGTGAAATCCACTGCCCTCACAGTACTCTCCCTCACGTCAAACACTTATCCCATCATTCTTGCTGCTTTCTGAAGCAGTTCTGGAAGCCCTCTTTCATGTTCTTACAAAGTGTGGTAAAAAGAGTGAATGTAGCTGCTGACTGCCACCGGACACGAAGCCTGCTCCTTCACACAATCTCCTCATCCACCTTATTCGCCGCATCTGGCCCTGTGCAACTCCCCAAAACCAAAATGAGCCTGAAGGAAACGTTCGGGGCTGACAGCACAAGAGGCAGCATACCCAAATGCATGGAAGAGAACTTTGGTGCTGCTTCAGAAAGAAGAAAAGTGGGAGAAGGTGAATTCACAGGGAAGGGGAAAGTCCTGAGAGGAAGGTCAGGGTACCTGCACTGTAATATTTTCAATATAAAATACTCAGTGTATTATTTTCAAAATCACATCTGCTACATTTATTGCTGTCTAGAAGGGTAAAATATCTGAAGAGCTTAAATAGTAAATTCATCTGATCAACAAGTACTTTTCCCTCGTTACTCATTTAAAAAAGTATTCTAAAATCACTTGCACTTTTAGCAGCTTTAGTAGACAGCATGTTGTTCATTCTTCCATTTTTAAAAAGGAATAGGTATGAACCAACCAGTGAAATTATACAATGTGGGAACAAATTATAATTTGTATAAACTTTTAAAGTATAAAGTAAAATACAGAAGTGACTAATTAAACTATCAATAATCAAAAAATTGCAAAATATTAACTCATTCATTATAAAACAAATAGAGAAAAAGCAATGGTTAATTTCATTTTAAGTTAAAAGTCAGGAATACAAAGACTAGCTTAACTTTTCTTTAGTTTCCTAAATAGCACTTTGTGATTTTCAATACATATCAGATATGTGCAAATCCTTAAACAACATTTAAACTACTAAAATGTTGATGTTAAACTTTTGGTTTTAATAAAGGAAAATGCTAACATTAAATGAGCACTGTTTCGTTTATAATGCTGACTGTAGAGATCTGAAAATAATATGTAAAAGTATTGCTTCCAAAGTTGGCCCATTTCTACAGCACAGAATTCAGACAAAAACTGCACCAAAGCAGCTACATTACCAATCATCATCCCTTCTTTCAACATTTTATACATCTGTGTGACACCTTTTTACAGTCTTGAAAGTATGTCCTGCCATTTACACTCTTAAGATTCTACACGTTGGGATATATCCAGAGGATGTGACCATGCTTTACCACAGCAGGACTTCATTTTTTGCATGTTAAGCAGTACAATAAATGTTTGGAGAATCCCTTACGGTCAGGTTTCATATTACTACTTTGCCAGATAATACAAAAAAATTGACAATGTAAAAAAAAAAAACAGTATTTATTTTCATTATTAAAAAATTCAACATTTTACAATCCCTAGAACTGTGCAATCACTAGTCATTTAATTTACAGAATTGAGGGAAATATTTTAAGTCAAAATATACATGTTGTATGTGATTGAGTATATAAGCACCAAAAATTTTAAGTCCATAAAAAACTTTATTAACATATAAGGTGCATTGACTTATGAATTACATTCAGTTTGAAGAAAGAAACAGTACCCCCAAATTCATTCATCTTTAAGAAATAGCCAAGTAACTTCCACTTTACAAGAAAATAACAAATACTGCTGTGAGATTTTTTTACAAGTCACCTGAAATTTAGATTCAAATTGGAGAACTGCCTTACACTGTGAAAAAGTTTGATCATCAGACGTGTTTGTGCTCCAAGGTAAGATAGTTCAGACCCAACATTTAATGCCCTAAATCAATTAAAATAAAACTGATTCATTTAGTGACCATTCGAAGTTAAGAAAAAGACTGCCCGTATTTTCATGTAGAATTGGGCATAAAGTCACTGTGGGTCCAAAAAAATTATTTTCGAAGTATCATCAGTCTACTCAGTAATTAGGACTTCATTAAGTACAGTGTGTCACTAGAGCTTTGGGCAGCAATTATTATGAAGTTAAATGAAGTAAACACAGGATTTCTTGGTTTCCAAATCATACTTTGATAATAAGGAAAATATACACCTGCCTCGCTTCTCCTGCCTTAGCTGGCCTGCACGGCCTCATCAGGCTGAGGAGGGGCCTGGCACGGCTCTCCAGCTGAGCCAAGCTCTACCTCCAGCTCCACCCTAAATAGCGTACACAATATCCAGTTCCTCACACGGCTAACACAAAACCCAGAGGCTGGGGTCCTCAATGTCATCTACATTTATATCCTGACGCCTTACTGTGTGCATGAAAACAATAATTTGTTGTGCTTTTCACAAATCTGAGATTTTCATATCAGATATTTTATTTCTTGCTGTTTTGGAAAGTAAAAATAAAGACTAAAAGGTACATAAAGAGACCAGACTATAAGGTAACATTACACATACAACTAGTCAACTTTCTCTTTAAGTGAAAAGATATTCTAATCACAAGGTCTGATATGTGCATTCTATATAAACAAAATCTCCCTACAAGTCATTATAGATTTTCACAACAATCAGCATATATATCAGTATTTTCACAATCTCTTCGGTTATCCACTGATTATACTTTTAGAATTAAAGTATGTTATTACCATAGCAGTCTAAACATTGTACTCTTAGGCAAATATACTTAAAAATGGTTCCACAATTTGCTCATTGTGAGGGCTATTTACAAAGATAGCTATTTACGTTAGCAATAAATAATCCTGATATCAAAAGAGAATGTTCATGCACACACCAAGATGGCTGCATGCTAGTAAAATATGTACACGTGGCTTCTTCGTTAGAGCTCTCCCATTGATGGTGCAAGTGCGCGCCCATCAGTCTTGCTTCTGAGGGACGCATCCTTCCATCTCTACGACTTCAGGCCATCCTTCGTATTTGTTTGTGTCCTTATTGTTCTTTATGTGCTATCAGAACACAATAATAACATGCAGTTTAGAGAACCTCTGGAGCCAACTGATTTGCACTAACTACTTCACTCTGCTCTCTTTTCAGTAACACATCAACCATGAGGTCATACACATATCTGTGCAAGACAGAAATGGGCAGCCCTTGGGGCCTGACACACACACGGCAGACCTTCCAAAAATAAAAAAAAACAATTCTGCAGATGTTTTTACAAGATCATTTGTCAGAATGATCTTCTCAAAGGTCATTTGTTCCCTTTACAGAAAAGTAAAGCTTAAATTCTACTAAATTCTCAAGTATTTCCAAATTTAAGTGAGCCTCATATCTAAAGCTACACATCTCATATCAAAATCCTTCATAACTAATGCTTCCTAAAAGGCTAAAAAATTCTATCCAATGCAGTGAAACAACAAGAAAAAAAAAAAGCAGAATTTTAAATTTCTTTAATTGTAAACCTAAAAGTACCCTGGATGTTTCAAATAATTATCAAGAACTTAAGAAAAATATCTGAACATACTATATAGTATCTAATTTTCAAATAACTGGGCCAGGACTGCACAACCAAAGGCCTCACACACTTCTGTCCACGCCATGGCTGTCCGACTGACCTGCTCGAAGGGGCTCTTGGTCTTAATGCCCTTCCCACCACAGAAGACCCAGTTGTCTCTGAACCCGAGATTCGTAATAGATGTACTCCCCAAGTCAGCGATCAGCCGCCGGGCTTCATCATTCAATCTTAAAGAGAAACAAGAGTGAGACCCTGTACCAAATACATTTAAAAAAAGAACGCATCAATCCACATGAGGTACTACAGGTTGTCTAATGGGAATCACCTGGGCTATTCAACAAACAGAAAGTCGTAATATCACCTAGAATGCTTAACAATGCCTTACACAACAGAATCTTAAAAAATAAAATTTTCACAGAGTTAACATTTTTATTTGAATTTTTTAATACCAAAAAGGTATGGAAGATTAGTAATTAATTTTATGCTTAGTCTACTATGAACTACCTTTCTGATGTATTTCACAAGAATAAGTAGCTTTCATGGAATTATTGTAATTACATTCATTACGTATGTAAGGGATACAACTGTCAGCAGATGCTCAGCCAAGCTAATCTAAGGCCTTCAGCAACAAATACTTTTGGAAAATTAATTATCACTTATAATTTCCAAAAAATCCTTTGCAAATTATGTGCAGAGTACAGGTACTAATAAAAATCTGAGTGCTTCCTGCACTACTGCTGAACACAAAACAAACTGAGAATATATATAATTTATATTTAATAAAAATGAAAAGCATTATCCACATAGCAGCTAAATGTTTAAAAGAAGAGGAGGGCAGTGACAAAAAGTGTCACAAATTATTAATTTGAAACTACCATTATAATTTTTGGTATAGGTTTTCATTTCAATGTTGAGTGATCCCTTCGCCCCCAAGAAAGGAAGGAAACCGCAGTGGGTAAATGCCAGCTGTACAGCGGGGGGGAAGACAGGCAGCAGCTACGAGTAATCTGTGCAGGTTTGCTGACAGAGGCTTACAGCATATAACCCACAGAGGAGCGACTCTTCTGGGTCAGACGGGCGTGTGCAGGTAACACCTGCTCTTGCATTTGGAAATTGCAGGCATGCAGAGGGACCTTGTTCCTGCCTCAGCATTCTTTCACACACCCTCCCCCGCAAGCTCTTACCTGTTAGCTCCTGCAGGATCTTAATGAAAAAACATTAGGTACACCGTTCGACAAACATAAGGGTCTATGGGATACTCAACATTTTCAAGTTTTGTAACACATGAATGAACCAAATATTCAAATTTCATAATTTATGCCACCCATATCCCCAGGCAACGGAGTAGCTTTAGGCACTATTGTTTACTAAAGAAAGCACACTGGAGCCAGCAAGAAAAGACACAAGAGTCCTGAATAGTTTTAGCCTTTCGGGCTCACCTCTACATGAGGTGATGTACTACAGCTCAGTGAATGAAAACAAAGGGAAATGTCTCTTGTGCAAAACCAACCTATCATGTCAGCCTCTGTGGAATCATTGCTCTTCACACGAAACGGTGTATTCCTGCCTCTTTCTCCCCAAAGTTCCTCCACAGGTTTATTCCCTGAGGCCATCACTATTAGAATTAGCTCTCACTTTCTATTTATTTGTTCCACTTATTTGTTCTGGAGAGAGACTTCCTAAAGGTACAGTACTACCTGAATCTTATTTTCTTGTTTCCAAATAATACCAGAACATTGTGGCTCTGGAAGACAGTTGAGTTCTTTCCATACAGTTTATTTAAAATATTCTATTATGTTGCTGCTTTCTCAGAACCTCACTTGCATCAACACTAACAGATGAGTTTTGTTGCTTTAATAAGAACAAAGAGTATTAAAAGGCAGAGGGTAGATGGAAAGTTTACTGGGTATGCAAGTGGCTGCCTTCTACAAAGTGTTGGAGATCCATTCATATCTACATCTCAGAAAGACTGCAAACTGCTGTCTCACAGACTTTCATGACTGCCCAGAAATATTTAAAATAATGACTGGCAAGGCCACAGGAAAAGACGACTTTTTACCCCAATCTGCCCTGAAAGCAGATGTTTTTCCAAATGTAGCTCTGGCCCCTGTAGTTAAGGAAAATCTTTCTATTTTGGAGTTTGCACCAACTAAAAATACAGGAAGGGCAGTCCTGTCGTGGCCTTTGTTTTCTCAATCTGAGAAGTGATCACTATGATCTGTATGAATAAAACAAGCCAACTTCACCTGAGATTTAGAGCCACCTGGAGATTTAGCTTTATATTTTGAGTCCATTCATCTCTTGCCTTACTTTTCCATGAGAACATCCTGCAGTCCTGTGTAGGAAAGTATTAACACAGCAGGCCTGAGCTGCCTGTCCTTGGGAAGACCTTCAGCACAGCTGGACTTGGCTGGCATCTGGGCAACTCGAAGGGGGTCAGGGCTACCACTCTTTGAAGGACTCATGAGGCTGGTTCCTGGTGCTTACCTGTGTGCATAAGCCATACTGCTGAGCACACACCTGCTTTGTCGGGGTAGCTGCAACTTTGCGAGGGCTTAGTTACAGGGTGCCTATGTGACCCGCTCCCGATGGGTACCAACTGTCTAATAAACTTCTCTAGTAGGCTACATTTTATGTCTGGTCAAAATGTGTTGCTGAAAAAGTCAAGCCTGTCCTGACCCTTGAAAGCCTCAGAGCGTTTTCTTCTAGGCCAGCAACAGTGAGCCTTTTCCGAGTGTTCGACAGTCACAAGCAGCCTACTGCAGCATGCATGCCACAGGATCACCAGCACTACTCTACAGACTTCCCCACTTTGTTGATTGTGCTTTCTTTTCTTTTGCTGCAACAAATCATAACTGCGAGTCCTAGAGAAACATCAAACCCTGTCCAACATCCCTATGTAGTTACAACTACAGTTTTATAACGAGATCTTTCTCAATGACTTCTAAAGTTTTCTGATCTTCCTTAGTTCAGTGGCTGTTACATTACTCCTTTTTGATATCTTCTATTTAAGAAACAATTTCATAAAGTTTGTGTAACTCAGCCAATTGTAGGCAATATAAAATACACAACAGATGTTAAATACCCCACTTTTTAGAATATATTTATATATAAAGTTTGAATACATAAGCTTTCATCTTGCATAGGAGTACTGAGTTTGTTACATGATTTATATACTCCTTACTGATGTGATGGTCTTAATTGAGTGAGTTAAAAAATTATGTTGCCTGAATTATATTAGTGAAGAACTTTCTTTAAAATGAATACACAGTCTACCTCTGACAAGCCAGGGAGAGTCAAGGCAGGGACTGTGATTCCCTAGAGACTACCCTAATGCTGTCCAAGGGAAATCTGGAGTAGAAACAGGAAGTGGGAATGGAGGTGGGAGTTTCTGGGTGCAGCTGGCGTCTTTGCTTCTTGAGTCCCAAGTTTTGTCATCAAGCCACACCTATGCCTCCTTTCTTAAAGCCGAGAGAGCAATAAGGAGAACTATGTTTGGGGCTCAATTCTGATCAGCGGGAAAGAACAAGCTGGGAATCAGAGGTATTAGAAACTTTGGAAGAAAATCACAATGTTGAATCACTAGTGTGCAGTGTAAGAAAAAATACTAAGCATAAGTAGTTTTCAGGCTCAGATTTAAAAAACCACTTATGACAGAAAACGGAAATTTCTATCAATGAATATTTGACACTACAGACTAAGAATACCAATCACTTTCACTAGATAATTGCCAAGTCCCAGAAAAGGAGAGTTTTTAAATTAGTGCTACTATAGGAGGATACCATAATAGGCTCAAAGTTTAAAAGGGAAGCTTTTAAAGATAAAAAGCAAACCACATTACTAGTAAAGTTTTTAATACTCTATGAGGAAGATCTGTAATGCTCAGAATGACGAGATGCATAAAACTGTATTACAGAACTTTTCCAACTACATGTGAGTAACGAAGGGTACACTGTCACAAGAAGAATGATGCATGCCGTTGGCAGGTCAAAACATGGCTGTCCACAGAGCAAGCATTCTTTGAGCAACATAAAAATGGAATGGGGGGGGGGCCTGCCCATTAGCTCAGGTGTTTCAGTGCCTGCTGAAACAAAGCAGTCAGGATTAGGATGCTGTGGTTCGATCCCCTCATCCTCAAGCCAAACCAGGCCTGCCCTGAAAGCATCCTGAGTGCCCCCGCAAAAAAAAAAAAAAAAAAAATTGAATGGGAGCTTCATAACATCCATGGCAGTGTGTTAATGTGAATTTAAACCTCCAGGCCAACAAATGTCACACAATGCGATTCTATAAGAACTTGTTAATATAAACCTCAAGCTAGTGTTAAAGTTATTTCAGAAAATGAAAATCCTAAAATATTTACTTCAAGGCAAGAACAATTTTAGAAACAATGGTCCAATCAAACCAATTCTAATTTATACCCAAATTTTAGGATGGCAGACAATGAAGAGCTATGTGAGCATTATAGTGAAAGAAACAAGGAGTGGTGGGAAAGAGAGAGGCAAAGCCAAGCAATGACTTCTCGGCTATTTTAGCTGTGTGTCGGAAGATCAGGGTACTGTAAGTAGCATGGTCCATGAATATCAAGCGAGTATCTCAGTCTCAGAAAATGGCCTCTGTGAAAAAAGTCATACAACTGCTGCTGGACGCGATGCTCATGGCGGTGCACTGGCAGCTGTCAGGAAAGTAATTTCTGCAGCTGATTAACAGAGGAACCGCTCAGAGGAAGAGGCCTCTAGCGGAGTGGTGCTTAGTCCTTGGTAAACATGCGCATCAAGGACTTATATTTAAAGAACAACTTTGGAGAGAATACAAAGCTTGGATCATGGAGACCTTGTAGGACAAACATCAGGATCAAGACCAAGTAGGCCAAAATCAGCCAAATTAAATTCAACAAGAATAAATGAATATAAAGTCCTTCATTTAAATTAAATGAAATCACGTTCTAAATGGGGAGAAAGACCTAACTTGGCAGTGGTTAAAAAAATAAAAACTAACTTTTTTAAAGTCTGAGATCAAATAAAAAAGATCTGAGAATTCAGCCTGACCAAAAAACTCATGAGCCAAAAATGGGATATGACTGTTTAAAGAAAACTAATATAATACTAGTCTGCATGAATATTCAAAGAAATGTAATCTCTAAAACATGGCAAGCTAGCATCTCCACTGTGCTCTGTACTGGCCAGACCACATCTGGAACACTGTGTTTAATTTGGGGTGCTCATTTTAAAAGAGACAGTAATCAACTAAAGAATGTCCAAGAAATAAAGCCAGGAGAGTAAAACAAACTAGAAATTAACACAATAAAAGGTTGAAAGAGCCACATACATTGTGCCTGGAAAAGAGAAAACTACAAAGGAAATGCCAATTTGTTTCAAACCTTCAAGTAGCAAATAACTGGGAGAACAACTTACTGTTTTATTGTCCTGTTCACCCACGCTAATGACAGAAGCGAGAGGGAACCCGCCCTGGGAATGTACCTTTTCTTTATGAGTTTACCTGCTTAGGATAGAGACATGGCGGCTTCAGCAGGTGAGGGGTGCATGTACATATATGTATTCCTGCAGAACCTCGTCCAGCCTGGGATCTTGGCTCAGATGGCTTTTAAGGTCCCTGCTTCATCCAAGGAACCAACACTAAAACCCTTCACTTAGGCTACAATTTATTAACATATCGGCTGATTAAGAAGAGTTCTGAGCCCTAGCAGGCCTAATATGGTGAAGGAGGAGGTTATGAATGTCAGAAAATGGGAGCATCTTAAATGTTAAGACCTCAAACAATACATGTAATACTGTGTTTTCTCTGCCAAAGCAAATAGCAAGTTGTCTTTTTTTTTTTTTTTTTTGCTAAAATGCTTATATTGTTTGGTTCTATTAGGCAAAAATGAAGATGTCTGAATTTGCCATTACTATATTAATTTGCCACTTACAGATTTAATACATTCTTACAGAACCAGATAAAACACACAATGCCAATGAAATAACTTCAGAGTCTGGGGTCACTCATAAAATGGCACTTTTTTCTTGGTACACAACTCCAGTAAGTAACTTTACACTAAATATTTTTTTAAAAACTAATTAATAGATATGCCATATTCCTGTATAGGTCTTCTAATAAAGCTTTTTTAATTAAAATCTAAAGATTTTTTTTTTATTCTTCAAAGAAATAAGGGGACCAGGGAGATAGCTCAATAGATTAAGTGTTTGCCTGGCAAGCACAAGGGCTGAGTTGAATCCCCGGTTCCGGAAAAAAAAAAAAAAAAAAAAAAAAAAAAAAGAGCAAGGACCGTATAAATGCCCCCGGTTCCTAAAAAAAAAAAAAAAAAAAAAAAAAAAAAAAAAAAAAAAAAAAAAAAAAAAAAAAAAACTTTTAAAAGATAAGTAAGAAAGTGAATTTTATTTAAGAATTTATTAAAGAATACCAAAACACCTCATTCTCTCAAATGAATAAGTACCAGCATATGATGGAAACCCAACTACTCAGTAGTTACGGCTCAAAGATCTCAGTGTAAGGTCAGTCTGGTAAACTGAGTGAGAGCCTGTCTCGAAGCACAATTTTTTTAAAGGAAGGAGGGCCTTTAAGAAAGGTTTGCTAGGCGTGTAGTTCAGTGGTAGAGAACTTGCCTGTCGTGCATGAGCCCCTAGGTTAAATTCTCAGCACTGTAAAACAAGCCAAAACAAGCCAAACCAACACAACCCAAACACTCAAGATTGGAACTTTAAAAGAATTGGTATCCAAAAACTTCTGAGAAAAATACATAATTTGCATAATTTTTAAAAATACTGTTCTTAAAGTATGCATATTCTTTAACTCACCAAATTCACTTCAAAATAGTAATCTCAAGAACACAGACACAAATGACTTAAAAATTTTAAGATAATTCATTTTGCAAAGTATAAAACACTGGAAACTGTCTACATTCTAACAATGGGCATCATAATAAAACAGATCATAAATCATCATTTTTAAAAACTAGGCTAGGAAGAAAACAGTAACCATATGTGGTGGAAAGTATGCTACAAACACTATCGTCCTAGATATTTAGCATGAAGAAAATGTGTAAGTCATCTGGAATGGAAACTCAAGAATTATCTGTGGCCATCCTTACAGGATGTGATGAACTATAATTTGTTTTCTTTGTACTCTTCTGTGTTTTTCAAATTTTTACAACATAAACAATTTCAGAAAAAAATTATATCACTACCATCTACTCAACTCTGCAACCAATAGTCTCACTACTGTATCTTTAACTATTAATTCAACTTCTAGAAATATCCTCTAAGGCTATGAGAAAAAGTACAAAAAGAAAAAAGAACTATGTCAAGGTTGTTTATCATAATGTTATTTATATGATAAAAAATCTGGTGCTGGGGGATTTTTAAATACAAGTCAGCCAAGGTAATGAACTGTTGGCAAGCCTTAAAAACGGGTATTGAATGTTAATGCCAAGGAAACAATTTAACGTCGTTCAAAAGAACAGAGTGAAGTTTGAAGGAATTTATGGACAATGGGATTCTAATTTTGCAACAATACATGCATGATAAAGGTTTACACAGAAAGACAGGAAGGACAGACTTTAAGAACCCCAGTGACATCTGGGCCCAAGGCCCACAGCTATGCTTCTAGCTCTGATAGAGCTGAGGCAGGAGTGCAAAGCTGTAGACCAATGTCATCTCACTGGGCAACTCAGTGAGATGATATTTCAAAATAAAGAAACAAAAAGGCCTGGGAAGGCAAGTCAGCATTTTCAGGGTTCAATTCTCAATTCTTTTAAGTGTAAGAAATAGTACATTAAAAATAAATATATGTATACACACAGAGATACACACAGATGCACATTACATTATAGTACATAAGTTACAATGTTTGCAAAAAAAGAAAAAAGTGCTGACAGTGTTTATCTGACAGTTGCATGACCTTGCTTCAACAAATATTTTTCAATGAAAATGTGCTGCTTTTATGATTAAACATTATAGCCACCAATGTTGAGCAAACATGGTAACACATACTTGGTTGCTCCATCGTCATACGTCCCCATTAAGACTATCGTTCCATCCTGTATGCCCTTCAAAAACTCAATGAAAGGTGCCACATCTGAAAAAAGGGTTGGCATGTTTTCAGTGATCAGCCACCATAATCACCTCTAAAATAATACAAAATATGAAATATAAAAGCATCATTTCTGGTGAAAAGTCATCCAAGAAGGAGAAAAACCTTACAGAGCTTAAACACTGTCCAGTCTGCTTGTTAACAGGACCACCATAGGCCTGCGGCTTCCCAGTCATGACCATCCCGTGTTTTGCACAGATACCCTTGGGGCTAATGCAAAGCTAAGCAGCTTAAAATAATTTTCTAGGCTTATCTATTTGCATCTAGCTGCAATCTAACTGAAGGGGAAATGCAGGCTACCGAGAGAATGAAGCCAAGCATGGCAAATATCAGATATCTTGTGTACCAGGTCCATAAGGACTTGAAAATAATCCACTTGAGGGACGATAAACTGGTGATGCCAGGGGGCCAGTACTACAAATCACCCTAAATCTTGAACCCCCCAAGTCTAACTGTATTTTGAAACAGGGTTGCTTTAAATTTACTTGTTTATCAAAGTAAAACTTCCAAACATTTTCTAATTGATTATATCTTTCTGCAGTAGCACTGTCAACTCAGAAAAAAAAAAAAAAAAAAACCAGCAAATTATTCCCATTTAAATACGAAGATGGCAGTAAACCACAACGCTTATGAAGTGGGACGGTGCGCAGCAGAGCTGATCTGCCTGGGAGAGGAGCGTGGGGACCACACGGCTGCGGCTCAGGACGCATCTCGGTGTGGTTTTAGAGGAGGGCTTCTATTCATCTTTGCAGGATCAATAATACCTTTAGAATCTAAAGCTGATGGTATCATTTGATACAGCTTTGAGAACTATGAAATGTTCTCCAAACATTAACACTCAACATTGTATTACAGGCTGAAGAAATGCTAAATAAGCCAAAATATCTGAAAACTCCCATCATAAATTTCAAGACAAACAGTTGTTGGAGTGTAGGGATGGGGAAGTGCAAGCTGGTTTAGATAACCAAAAGATAACCCAATGTGGGCCTGCTTTCAAAACTGAAGGCCTTTTGGAGGGCATCATTCTTCTTTAGGGTGACTGTCCCTCACCCCTGTATGGTGTCCCTTCTTACCCCTTGGAGTTCCAAATACAGAAGGGAAAAAATATTTGTGGATGGCTCTAAAGCCACAGAATCAGAAGATTCTATTCTGCATTAGTTTGCTAAACTGTAGTCAGAAAACAGAACTAGAAAAATAGGATCACTGCTTTCTAAAACTGACATTTTATCTTGTACATCTACAGCTCCTACTTATGATGTATTCCTGGAACTGTAAAATCATTTGCAAGCACAAATCAATTCAGTCGGTGTTTAAATTGGCTACTCTAGTCTTCAAAGTGTTTTTTTTAAGACTCAGACAGAAACCTAGAGACCCAAGGCTCTGGAACAGCTACTCTATAGAAGAGAGGACTCAGATGGTTCATAATCTCTATTTTCCTATTACTGTACTCAATGACACACCACAAACAATTTTAGTAACCAGAAACTATGGCAGATCCTTTAAATATAGCTGGACATTCAGTGCAAAGAAATAAAATGAACAATCAAATGACATCATTACTCTCTTACACTATATTGACATGATTAAGTCAGTGCCAACAAGGTAGAAATTATTCACACACATACCTCCTCCCCACATGTCAAAATATTTAGTGTCTAATACTTCTCCTGTTTTGCCTGAAAAAGATTGAATTCAGATTAAATTATGCAAATGAAACACATATACACTGTAGAAAACAAATGGTTTTATTCAATGGTTGGGCTGCACTCATTCGAAGAGAGGGTATTTTGAGAATTTAAAATCAGAATCATATGCTTTTGAAACGTGTAAGAGTACTTTCTGGATAGGGCTTTCCCATTAATCTTTCACACCAAAGAGTGGCAAACCGAAGCTTATTACTGCACAATTAAACAAGCTTTTTACAGCAAACAAGCATCTACTTGAATCAGACATCACTTTGATTTTTTTAAACAACGGTACTGAACTAAATTTTGCATACCACACAATTCCAATAAGATTCAATAGATTATAGTACACGGGGTCAGACACTACTTTCTACAGTAAAGGTGTTTTTGTTTGTTTTTTTAATGTATTTGGTTATTGTAGGGTCTCCCTATGCAGCTTGGACTCGTGGTGATCCTCCTGCGTTCAGCCTCCCCCGGACACTGGCTGGGGGCAGGGCTGGTGCAGCGTGTGGTGCAGGGACCACAGTCCCTGTGCTTGCCCAAGCAGGGGCTTTCGTTTGCTGAGCTATCTCACCGGACTCCATAAAGGTGTTAAAATTTTTTATATTTCTTTTTCAGAATGGGTTAAATAAATGCTTTACTTAAGAGGATGAAACAATTAGAGAGGCAAACATTTCTCTCTTGGGAAAGAAAGAAAAACTATTTTCCTACAAGGTGAATGGGATGGGGTGGCTGGTAGTTTCTAACCATGTTACCTATGTGTATAAGATATTTATGTCAGAACTAAGGGTATCAGCATGTGGCCAGCCCCCACAGTATGGGTTACATTTTACGTTTAATTTTCAAGTTGTTCAAGATCTACAAGAATAAACGACTGAGAAGTGGACAAGGTTGAAAACTGACAATAGATTCTTACTCTTTGCTCCTCCCTCTGCCTACTCAAAGAGTCTATGACCCTCATTTCTCCTGTTTACCTACAGTTCTAAAATGAGCAGCAAGAATCCATTAATTTAACATGAGAGTGTTTTCCCCTAACTGTCACCACAGGAAGCATCACACACCATGCACAGAGCTGGGAAGCTTTGGACAAAGCGTGTTATACACACGAGGCACCAAGCTTCCATCCAGCGCTTTCAGGGATGGGCACTGGTGTCAAGAGTGGTATTTTCTAACCTGATCCCTGGAGGCACATTTTAAGACAAGACTGCTCACTGTTTACATCCCTAACTTAACAATTATTCTTACCATTTGCCAAGGCAACATTGATCCCTCTTCCAACATTATTTTTAACACCACTCATCAACCTAAAGGAGAAAACATACAAATTTATTAGAATGTATTAGTTTCAGGGAAAAAAAAAAAAGAATTTATTAGTTTTGGCACATACACATTTTTCATAGTCATTATAAGTAACATACACACAATTATTCACTACTTCAGAGGATATAAATAAGTCTCAATAAATTAGAGAAGACAGTGTAATACTGAGTATTTTAAAGGAATCCTTAAATACTTTACAAATAAAAATATATATTAAAAAGTATTAGTGGGGGCAGGGAGATAGCTCAGTAGAATAAGTGCTTGCCTGGCAAGTAAAAGGGCCGGAATTCAGTCCCCGGTTTCGCAAAAAAAAAAAAAAGTAGTATTGGGGCTGAAATACTAGACTTTCTTGCTGTTCTGTGTCACACTAAGGAACACCACACAAGAAATCCGTAAAGCATGTGGATATTAAGTACACATTCCTCCACATTCTCAAGGGATGCGCAACAGACGAGCCTCTCCCACTGCTGCGACATCGGCGTAACAAGACGCAGTGACGTGCGACCTGCATCCTTAAGAGGTGAGGACACACATGAGAACGTGCTCTTCCACGCAAGCGTCACTGAGCTGTGGACATCCTCCTAGCGATTATCCATGGTTATTAATGTAAAAACCTCCGACATTCAGAAAGCGTACTGCCCTCACCTAACTGCTGTACCTAACCACACCCACGCATACAGTCTGCCTGAGATAGTCAGCATCCAGTGCAGCTCCCAGCCCACCAAGTAAAAGCAGTAATACTGCGAAACGGGCACAGTGAAACATTTGCTTAGGATTAGTCTGTTTAGTTAGTACTATTAATTGTAGGTACTTTTCATTTTAAAAATTCAAAGCATTAGTAATATTCCTAGCAGCACACTAAATGCTTCACTGGTGTACAGTTAGCAGTGAGGTCGGCATGGAGACATGTCGATATGCACATACACACGACACATAACTCAGATTTTGCTGACACAAATGATGTGTAGCCCACACTTTCACAAAGAAAATCTATAATGCTTTATTGTAAATGCTACTCATTTCTGAATGAGTGCAGCTCTAACACAAATGCTGAACGAGCATATAATTGAGAGTAACAACTAAAACGAAGATTTATGTTGAAAACATTTCCTCAGTCCTTCTGCTAACCAGCCTAACAGCCTCACACATGACGGATTTCATGTTTAATTTGTACTATTATCACCTTGAGTCCGAACATTTTCTGTAGTCAGATTACTACAAAAAGCTATGTAAAGGGACACACTCAAAAGCAATATAAATGTTAAAAGAAAAAAAATTTAAATGTTCATGAAAGTCATAAGAACATAATAAAGTGGAAACAAAGAACAAAAATCTAAAATGGCAAACAAGTTGTCATGCATTAATAACTATAAGTGTAAATAGTTTAAACATACCAACAAATAGAAATTAACAGGTTAAAATAGGACCTAACTACATGCTGTCTATAAGAAAATTACTTTAAATAAAATGATACTGGTAGTAGAAAGAGAAATGTTATATAAGAATATCTAAGATTAGAACTCAATAATAACCCAACTTAAAAACAGACTAAAAAAGCTCTTTCTCCAAATATACAAAAATAGCCAACAGCACAAATAGAAATGCTTCACATGTCTATCAACTGATGAACAGGTAAATAAAATGCGGGATTTGCCATCTGCCATGGTGCCCAGTGTGTGTTTAGCGCTCTCCCTGAAGCCTCATGGCTGGATCTAGGGGACGACTCCAGAACTGAGGCACGGTGCAGCGCTAGGCTCAAGGGCACTAGGATGAAGGGTGTGAGCGCTCCCCACCCTCCACAGGCTGGATAACACCTAAGGAAGAGAAAGAGCTGCGGCCCTCCCTTGCTGCCTTGCCGTCTTCTGCCTGCCACAGACCGTTTCTCCCCCCCATGCCTGACTACACCACTCTGTCTTGGAGACAGGTGATCACCGACTGAAACCCCTACAAAGCTGAGCTGAATTAACCTTTTCCCCTTTATCTCTGGGCATTCCGTATGTTGCCTCAGCAATGACAAAGGTAACTAAGACACCTTCCATACAAAACAGCATTATCTAGACATAAATGGAATGAAGTTTTGATTAGGCAGCAACGTGGACAAAACTTGAAACCATTACACTAAGGAAGGAAAACCTGTTCATCAGTTGTTCTCAATGAACACTTGGAACACCGTTCATACAAAACATCCACGGGAGCAAATCTACTGAGGCAGAAAGTAAGCTAACAGTTACTGAAGGCTTTGGTGGGATAGAAGGGAAAGACTAAAAGTAGTTTCTTTAGAGGAAGAAAAATGCCTTTAACTTGATGGTGGCAGAAGCTGCGTAACACTAAAACCTCCTGATGGTACATTTCACAAGAGTGAAGTCACGGTATGTGAATCACATCTCAAAGCTGTTGAAATGAAAGAACTAGTATTGAGCACAAATCAGAAAGGGCAGAGTGTTGGCTCTGCGGCAACAGAGGGTTTCAAAAACACATTAATATAGTTCAAAAATACATTACATGAGTAAACTCTGCCATTCATATTAGGCATCAATAGTTATAATCAACTTGTTGGGTAACTGAATCCACAGAGGCTTTTCCATCTCCGAGTACACTGTGTTTAATAAACAAATTCATCAGAAAGTGAAGACATGAAGGTAAAAAAGAAGCGTAGTAACAGGATTCCCACCAGAGGGCAGCAGCTTATCAGTTTTTAAAAAAGAATTCCCAAGAAAACATGTAACCAACCCAAAACCCACTTAGGAACATCAAAGTCCCCACGTCCACAGCTCACATCTCCAAGCAAGAACCTAAAGGAAGCAGTCACGTATGTACATATCATCCAATAGTTTCTCTGAAGTACAACCAAAACACAAAACGAACATTCAAATTTTAAAAATTATAGACATCCCTCTTCATAACGTGCCTCTGCCTCTGCTTAGCAGGTAATTCTTAGCCCTGTCGCAAGCAGTTCTGGAAGTCATCTTCTAGCTTCCTAAAGCACGATCCAACAAAACCCAAAACAAAAGCAAAACGCCACCACCACAGATGGCGCTGAGCGCCACCCACTCTAGGCAGGTTCCTAAAAGTACTCCGCTGGTCCTCCTCACCTACCTCTTTCATCAGATCAGATCGGTTCCGGCTCCTCGCCAAAGCCAAAATGACCTTACTAGGTAAAAGTTTTGAATGACCCAGGAAATCTAAGCAGCTACAAACTGTGCATGGCCCGACAATCATGAAAGAGGACCTCCAGGACTGCGGCACAAAGTGCTAAGAATGAGGGCATAAATGTATTTAAGGTGAGAAGGCACATTCTGAAGGATACTGACAGTAGTGTAGTTTGTTTTGTTTTGGTTTTTTTGGTGGAACTGGGGATTGAACTCAGGCCCTTGCTCTTGCCAGGGAAGCACTTATTCTACTGAGCCATCTCCATCTCCCCAGCCCCAGGTTCTTTATTAAAATGAATTTAAAAAAAAAATGCCTCCACTGTATTTTTCAATCACAATATAAGTTACTATATCTTAAAGAATTAAGGCCAGGAATGACAAACCACAGCTCAGAAGACAAATGCATTCAGCCCTTCTCTTTTTCCTGTCTTTTCTTTTTTCTCATTTGATTAACTATCCATGAGTTGAGAATGGTCTTTACATGTTTACCAGGTGACATTTTAAATGATTTTACCAGTATATCATCTTGACTTTATCTCTTAGTTCTTAACAATAATATTATCTTGTTCCTTGTTTAAAAAAATACTCCAAGTAACCTATGTATTTTTGTACCAAGGACTAAAATGATAATAAAAGGTGAAATATTATCAATTTCAGTCAAACTAGTATGCCTTGCATATATGTAAGTTCTATGGGTTCTCAACACAATGGGGGAAGCGGGGGTGCAATTCCTGTTTCCCAGAACATCTGATGTTTACACCCAGGTTTTCTAGCTCAGCTAAGACTTACCATTCCTTTTCAACTTCATAACATACCTTGATTGCGGTTATTTGTAACACCACTAACACTGTCTGTCTTAACAGAGATCTTAACACCCACCTGCTGTCACTGTCAGTGTCTCACGCTTGGTGGACGAGAACATTATGGTCCTGATCATTCTTGTGGAGGGGCTGACATGTGCAGTGAACACTGATGCACAGCATCTGTGACCCAGAGCAGCACCTTCCCAGCTGTGACAAATGACAGATGTGCCCTTGGGAAGCAAAATCACTCCCATGGAGACACACTGATCTAGATTAATAGTCTCCAAAGTAACATGCATGGATTCAGAGCAGGTGAAAAAAAAAAAAATTCTTGGAAGCGATCAAAATGCCCATCACCCGAAGAATGGGTAAAAATGATGTGGCATTTTTATACAGTGGAGTATTATTACTCAGGTATGAAGGAAGACGAACTCGAAAACTTCATAGGTAAGCAGATGCAACTAGAGGTTATACTCATAAGTGAAATAAACTAGACTCACATGTGTAAATATCATATTAGCTCCCTAGTGTAAGAACCTGAAAAAAGAAATAAAACCTGAAATGTGTAACAGATATAGTAAAACAGAAATGGAAATTAAGGATTAAACAGAAAATAGGAGAGAAAGGAGAAAAGATAATAAAAAAGGTAGGGAAAAAACATGCAAGTATATAGCCAGGATGGCTGAGGTGACTGTACTAAACATTTCCATCAGTTTTTTGAAAATAGCAGTTAATGTGTAGAATTTTCATCTTGACTAACTCTGTATGCTGATATCCGCAATCTGCGCAAATACATGGAGGACAGCAATGTATAATACAAAAACCATGCTTGAATACCTGTCATCTTGGACTTCTGAATGTGTACTGTTGGTAATACCATACCAAGTATTGCTATACTCTCTTTAAAACAAATTTGTTTTTAAAAAAAAGTTAAAGAAGACAAGAAAATTTAATGTTTCTTGGAAGCATAATATGCAGCCATGTGTCCAATCTTACAAAACTATATCTGTTAATCTGAGCAACAGGTTTCACGATAAAAATAGGTAATATATCAACCATTGTTAATAAGCTATTATTGGTTTGAAAATCTGTAGCATATGTATTTCTGTATGCTGCCGTTTCTTTGTTTCTGATATTTGTTCTTGCTTTTACGTTTAAAAATAAAATTAAACAAAGAAAATGTAAAAATTTCCACTTGCATAATTTTATTACCCATATATGTATGTCAGAAGGTGTATTGGCACGTTCCCAGCAGGCAGTACGACAGAGCTGGCAGGACCCGGCAACAACCTTCTAATGTTTTCTCTATTCCATAAGCACTTTACACTCCAGATGGATCATCATCTCCAACATAAACGAAATCATAACATGCCAGAGTATAGAAACATGCAACAACTGCCTGACATGGTCAGAAAACAATTTCAACGCTCACCCATGTCACCTCTGTGTCCCTGCGTGGCAGGCCCTACTCCCATCTCTCCGGAGCCTTCCCTCTCGCCATCCTACCCACTCTCCGCCTGGCTGTCCTTCTTCTCGCCCCTGGTCTATGATTGCACATCACCGTTTCCAGTCTGTTCCAGGCCCCTCCCTCTGGGTCAGGATGCTGCCTCTCACTCCCTCCCACCAGTGCACATCACACCTGGGGCCCGTACCGGTGGGGCCATGATTTACAGCCACGCATTTGCATTTACTGTTTAAGCATCTCCTGTTGTTACTGGACTACAAGCTCTGTGACATGAGGGACCATTTTTGATAAGCAAAGAAATGAGTAAGACTTAGGAAACTGAGATTTTTTAAATTAAAAAGAAAATCTTTTAAAGATTAGAAAGAACATACTGCAAAAAGCACTGGACCCTGCCTGGGTCCCTATGGTGTCTCCCCTGGGGGTCTCTGGCCAATTACTCAGCCCTGCTATCAAGACTAGCTCCATGAGCTGACACCTAGCTATAAAGTCCAATCAATTATTTAATTTCTCATGGGAATGGCAGAATGTTTCTTAAAATGCGGGTGGAGTAGTGGGCCGGACTCAATTTTATGGTGAAAGAAACTGAAATATAGTATAAATCCTACATGACTCACCCATGATGCTAGAACCAAATTCTCTGGCTCACTACCTACACACTTTTCCTTTCGTCCTATATAATCCCTGAAGAGAAAACCTGTTAGTAAAATAATTTAAAAAATAAATCTTTTTATTAAGCTTATATATGCCAAATGGGAGGGTAGACATCTAAGGAAAATCAGCAGGCTAAGACCTTTTTACCTATCACTGTATTCAGAATAGTAACTTGAAGTCTCTTTAATCAACTGAGGTCAACAGGGAGAAAGAGACTATCTTAAAAAGCCAACGAAGTTACCCAAGAGCCTTATTACATATTGGTGAAACCAGACTGTATAATGAGGTGCCAAAGACAGTCTGTTAATAATGAATCACCAGGCGCACAAAGGCAAAGTAAGAAGTGAGCAGAGGTCTTGAGGAGCCCCAGCTTGGTTTTCAGGAAAGCTTATCCCCCGAGGAAGAACAGCCTTCTCATAGCTAACTTGCTGCAAAGGGGGCAGGATGCAACATGTAAGAGCTTCTATATTAAAAAGAGCTATAAAAAGGTTTGGGAGAAACAGCCTCGTACAGAGGTAAGTCTCCTTTAACAACTTTAACATCACCTTAGTCTTTACAGAATTTAGTGTCATATTTATTATCCCATATCAAATTTAAATGTGTTCATGTATCTAGCTTTCCAGGTAATACGACTAAAAGTAACCAACTGAAAATGGGGCTTATGATGTCAGAAGCAGGAATTCAAATCATAGGTGGCAGGTGACACTGAGACAAGATTTTGAAGAGCCTACAAACCATACTTGGCACAGCATCTCAACATGGGAAACCAGCTGAGGAGCAAGGAGTCTGCGCAGCAACAGGCCTGTGGTTACCACGGGATTACTTCGTATGTCAAAGCCAGCCGAGCACTGTCAGTGAGAGATGCTGCCCTGCCAGGTGCAGTGCTCTCTGTGCGTGCCATGCTGTCGACAAGACTGAGCCAGCACAGAATTCTCTTCCTGGGTTGTTCAAACGGGATCAAAAGAGGCTACCGGAACGGATGTGAGAGGTGACCGGGCCCTGAGCTTCTACTGTTAATTCAAATGAACTAACTTCCTTCCTCCATTGGACACAAAATGAAAAAACAACCACACGTGTCTGAAAGCTATCAAATGAGACAGTACAAATCTAGAGAATTCTCTCAGAGGAAATCCCTCACTCTCCACAAAGCTGGATAAATTCTGCATTCTTGGTCACTTGCTAATTTAAAAGAAAAAAATCAAATTTTAAATTTGTGGGGAACATTATACAATGATAATGACAATCACATTCCTTTAGTAAAAGCACAGCCAGGCCCTCTTCAGAAGATTCCCTGAGCCCATGGGTCCTGCTAGCTGTAACTTAATTAACAACATGCCTTCCAGTGGCAAATCAACACATACTTACACATTGTCTTCCAGGCAGATTTTGGGTCCCACCACATTGGCTGCTCCACTTGCCATTTTAAAAGCAAAATGTTTCTCAGGGCAAGCTTTTGAGATCCCACATTTATATCTGGGTGGTTTCGTAGCTTTGGGGGAGAAACAGGATTTTGTGACTGTTAGAGAGTAAGTTAATAGACCACAATCTGTTTTGTGTCTCAAACTGTGAAGACATGTAAAACATCAAGATATACAAATTTTATTTTATTTTTATTTATTTATTTTTGGGGGGTAGAACAGGGGATTCAATTCAGGCCCTTGCACTTTCCAGGGAAGCGCTTATTCTACTGAGCCATCTCCCAAGTATATACTAGAATGTTTTCCCCATAAGGGTTTCAGAGAACTTCAAAAAAAGAACAAGAAACACAGTAACAAAACTAGACCCAACTGAGTCAAAAGCTAGTAATCAGTATAAATGGATGAAGTGTGAGTGTGTGTGTGAGAGACAGATACTATACTCTTAATGGATATGCTTAAATTTATCTTTAAATTTAGGAGGCTCAAGATTGTTACTTTGCATTTCCAGTCTACAGATCAATAAAAGCCAATTACCTAAAGGGTAACTAGAAAGCCTAATGTCCCACTAGCCCTCTTTAACTAGAAATTCTCCTACTCTTGTATAATTTTCTGGATTTATGATACTGTATATAAAACCACTCATAGAAGAAAATATTCATAACGAATACTAATGGCATTGGACTGTCCAAATAGTTCCCATAAAACTTTACACACTTCTCTTTATTTGCTGGGTCTGAAGATTCAACCCAATTCAATCCCCAGTTCCACCAAAAAAATAAAAAATTTAAAAAAAAAATGAAGATTCAACCCAGTGTATCAAGCAAACTGCACAAATGCTCCACCTCTGAGCTCTACCCCCAGCCTCCATGCAGATAACTGTAAGACACAACTTCCAGGTCAGCTTCTATTATATCTAAACTATCAGCATTGCTTAACTGTAAACTCGCATACGCCTAAAATGCGGAAGAACATACATTTGTAAGATATTACACGTAAGTAGCATGAATTACTTACAGCGTGTAGCCATGTCCAATGGTGACCTCGCTAAAAGGAAAAAATTATTTTTGTTAGAATAAGCCTATTGGCAGGTATCAATTTTTTAAACACATTTTAGAGCTTCTAACAGGCTTACAAAAATATGTTTGAATACTGAGTATACACTAAGTAAAACATGAGTACCAATTCAGAGAAACTGACTTTACACAATTCATTATAAACTATTCTGTTGAGACATAATGGTAGAAAATATTTTTACCTTTACATTTTGTTGTTTTACTTATTATACCTTTAAAGGCCAATCAGAAAGTTACTCTACAAACTTACCATTAAATGGCTATAAATGGCCTGCTAAATTATGAAGGTATTAAAATTTATAGCTGCTATATGATACTGGGCACATACAAAGTTCCAGATAATATATATAAATCTATCTTTTGGCTAGGTTAGAAACTCAGGAGATGGCCAAAAAGAACTCTTAGCAACAAGCACAAGGAAGGGACATCACAATCCTGGACTTCAAGTTATACCACAAAGCTACAGTGAGTGAAAAAGCAAAAAGCTTGATATTGGCTAAAAAGAAAAAAAAAAAAAAATCATACTTGTACATCAATGAAATAAAATAAGAGATGCAGAAACAATCCCAGGCTCACCTATGCTGTCACAAATAACAACACTGCCTGCTTTTTCAAAGCTGAATATGAGCACAACAAATGTTTGAAAACCCATATTCTATAAGAAAACTCTATCATCTCTTCAGTTCCACATTCTTAACCTGTTTTGTATTTTCCGTGTCATTTTTCGATTATCTATTTTTTGCTTTCTAATGTAATTACATCAACAACAACAACAACAACAAAAAAAATCCAACTCCAATGTTCAGAAACACCTGTATCAAAAAATATCATTAAAAAGTCAAAAAAAATGTCAGTAGCTGTTCAGTACAGTTCTGAGGTATTTTAGAGGAACTCCAACATGAACTCTTGAGGGCACATGAAAAAAAAGGAATTAAGACGTATTATGTATATACAACAACTCTACACAAGGAAAGTACACACTGTGTACTAATAAAAACATGCACTAATAAAAATTATTTTTAAAAAACCAAGGGATAGAAAAGAAGGGGCTGGTAAGGAGTGGGAAACTTGAACTTCTCCAAAATGGAAATGTATTAGGTATGACAACTTTTAAAAAGACCATTACGAAGAATTTTATATAAGGCTCAAGGAAGCGATAAGATCAAACCTTAACATGAATGCAGTAGACCTCAACCCGACCATCTATCGCCATTTTCCTTAGTGTTCACTCCAAGTGCCAACCTGTGATCCCAGCCTGGGAACTTACAATTTACAGTATTAAAGTATTGTCAACACCCATTTCCTGACTTGACTAATAAGCATGCAGTGTGACAAAAGTTAGCCAGCTGCCTGGCTATAAGTAGTCCTTGTTTTTACTTTTGTACTATTTTTAATAAGTGTGAATTTCCTGTTAGTTCAATATTCAAACTTAGTACCTAAATGTTCAAGAGGAATAACCAAGTGAAGTCTCATTCATACAACAGAGTACTCACTAGATTATTATGCACTTTTACGATTTTAATAAATCCTAAAGTATAATAAATGATGTGGGAAAAGATTAATATACAGAATAAAGGAGAAAACACACTTTATCCATACCATAATATTACACACGAAAAATATTCATACATAAGAACAGAAATGAAGAAAAAAATGAAAAGTTGGCAAATGTAGGTATTGGAATGACATTACTAGGGTCCACTCTTTCAATTTTCTGAATGTCATTTTCCTTGATTACATTATAAAAGGTGAAACAACTACAAAGATCTAATCCAATGGTCTTACTTTTGTAAATGAGGAAACTCAAGCTCAGGAACATAAGGACTAGGGAGTCTCAACTTCACTGTGTCCTGAATACAGGCCTTCCCTGGCTCAGGTGTTGCCATTTCCAGAAAGCAGCAGTGTTAAGATCAGGAATGCTGGCCTACTGGGAAGGACAGGGCTAAACTACACCTCTCACACACAGATGGGGGATGGCTCCCTCAGACAGGCACTTCTGTACATGCTACTGACTTGACCATAATTTTTTCTTTAAAGATAAAGGAACTGAGGGCACATCTAGGTCATACCTACGGCAGAGATAGATTCTAAAGCCATCTCATAGTGGACCACCTCTGAAAATGGAAATGTCCCCCCTTCCAATCACACATACACACACACACGAACACACCCTGCTAGGGCTGCTATGAGCAGGAAGCAGGACAAGAAGTCTTTAAAACAAACACTTGTGACTACAGAAGGTTCAAGAGAAAGTGAGCTCTCAAGGATGCTGCTGAAGGTAAAAAGGGATAGCTTAGGGGAATGAAAAGTATGAAAGGTAGCGACTGTGGTTTGAACAAAGTAGACTCAGCAACCAAGGAAACAACACTGACAGGACTTGAGAATGGACTAGGTCCTGGGGTGCTGGAAGAAAGGAATCCAGACACTGGCCAGCTCGGACTTTGAAAGCTTCCAGGTGTCCATGCATACGACCCACTGAACATGCATCTCGAAACTTCTGCACTGAAAATGTTTATAAGAGTAAGGCTAAGAGGGTGGAGATATACGATGAATCCTGCTGGACCTGATAACTTCTGAAGATACAAGTGGATGGTATACAGAACTGCTACAAAGAGGAACTGGCATTAAAACAGAACCTGGAAAATTAGGAAATAGATGAGGCTGTCAATTATTAAATAATGATGAGTGACCAAGGATTCTTAGCAACCTGAAAAGGCTAAAGAAAGGGAGACAGAAGAAAAATCAGAAAGGAGTTTCTAAAATGGTTATACTGGGAAGGCAAGTAACAGATGGTCACTCAAGAACTTCCGGACAGAGAGGAGCCGGGGCTGCCGGATCCTGAACAGAACCAGAGCGCAGGCCCGGTGAGTGAGTGAGAAGACCCTGAGCCCGGCGGGATCCTGAACTGACCCAGAACCCTGGCCCGTGGAGTGAGTGAGGCAACCCGGGGCCCGTGGATCCTCATTCGACCCAGAGTGCAGGCCCCGCAAGTGAGTGAGGCGACCCGGGACCCGCGGATCCTCTTTCAACCCAGCGTGCAGGACCAGCCCGGAACCCTTCAGCAGAACTCCCTGCAAAGAGGCTAGAGGCAAGACCCACCCAGCTGATTCAGGAGCAGAACATCTTGCCAGAGAGACACAAAGGG